TATATACATCATGACAATTTCAAAGTAAAATATTTAGACATGCAAAATAATACAGTTTATGGATACTTACATATATATTAGAAGTACAAAATCATACACGGGGGATTGGGGTAGACACACAAGAAGGGTTCACCCACATTTGTAATGTATCATTTATTTAAAAAAATAACCTGAAACGAACACGGCAAGGTATCAAAGTTAATAAAGCTGGAGGGTGGGTACGTGGGTGTTCATAGAGTCTGTACACTTCTGCGAATTTGAGATGTTTCTTTTACAGAGAGAATGGCAATGTTAGCGAGCTGAACGAAGGTGACTCACATACGTGTGGGACTCTCATCCCTCACGCTGTCGGAGGTGGTTCACACTGAGCCAGAGTGTTCCACGGGTGAGAGCAGCTCAGCCAGCTTGCTCTTCCACCCCATCTCTCTACCATCAGTCTCATTTTCAGTGTCCTGTCTTCCCGGGTGACTAGCTGCACTTGGAGGAAGGAGACTGGCCCCCTGGCCTCCAGCCTAGACCACCTGCCCCACCTAGAATACCACCGAGGCAGGAGACCGATGACAACAAGCCTTCCTCTTGCCTCCCCTTGCACTCTCCACTGTGGACCATCTCCTTCAGTGACTTCACTGGGGGAGGCAGGCATGACTGTGGAGTAAGGCAGGATGTGCCGTATCTGAACATCATTTAAAGAGCACCAATTTCCATCTGAGTGTGGTGGCAAAGGCAGCTCCCCTGAGATGTAGGGACTTACTCTTCTGCTAAGCACAGAAAGCTCTCTGGTGTGTCCACCTGGCAGGCCAACGACATTGCCTTTATTAATTTACCCCAAACTCTTTCTCAGGAAACAAACTCTGTGCTTTGAGCCAAAAACCCCATGGAGATTAAAGTGATTTTAAACTCCATTTATGAAGGGTCAGAAGAAGTTCAACTTTCTATCCTCACTCCTAAGTAAAATTGTGTCGTGTTTCTTGCAGTAAAACATTAATAAATTTGTCATGAACAGAGAATCAGGGCTCACGGCGGTCTACAAAATTAGATTTCTCGGGAAAACCTTGGCCTGAGCTCTTCAAGAGATGACCCTTTATGACCCAAAGCCACTAGAAATCCACACAAAGTGAAGTCCATCTATCACTTCACTCTGCATCCTGCATTGACTGGACAGTGTCTTCCCAGAGCCCTGGAAAGGAAACCCAAATTCCTTACCAGGACTTAGGTGGTCCTTCGTGACATGAGCCCTCACCCAGACAAGGTCCAGCTCGTTCATCACTGTAGCACCAGCACTCAACACAGTGCCAGGTGCCTGATAAAGGCAAGAGGACACAGGACCTCTGCTCCTTCCCACCTCATCTCCCTCCAGCCTCTTAGTCTCCTACTACAAGTGGCAATAAAAAAAATTAAAGATTAAAAAAAACAACAACCCAGAAATCCCCAGGAGGAAAGTGTGCTTGCTCTGCAAAGGAGAAAATTGTGAGATCTCACGCTGACCCATAGAGGGCTGAGAAAAGCAGGCAGCTGGTGAGATGTCCTAAACCAGAAGGTCATGCACGGTATCCCAAAAGAAAGAGATGCAGACAGCCGAGCGCTGGGGCACAAATCCAACCATCAAGGCACAGGCAGGTCCCATTTTCTCCCTAATCCACCTGGCATACAGTTCCTCACTCTTCCACAGAATGACACGCCCCTGCAGACTCCGTGAACTCCAGCAGTTGTGGACTACAGGTGCTCTGTCGCCAAAGGCCCAGCAGCCTTGCGTTAGTGTACATCTTCGGTGACAGGTACTTCCAAATGACAGAATGCTAGTTGTGGGAGAGGTGGCCATCAGTGGGCAGTCAGTAATGACTTATTGCATTCCTTCCGCACGGTAGTGGCGTGCCACAGGCAGCTAGAGGCAGCTAGGACCAGCTCAGGAGAGCCTCCCATGAGCACGTCTGCCCAGGTCCACTTGGGTGACTGTCAGCTTGGTAGTCTGAAATCAGCCTCGGCAGGAGGGCATCCACCAGACAACGACAAATGCCACAAATTCGTGCCTTTTATGCTCGTTTGTCAGGGCCAGTTATTAAACATTTACCAGCATAACCATGTTAGTGTGTCTGAGACTTGGGTCCTCAAAGAGCAGACACAGAGCCTGGGTGAGAGCAGTGCATCCGGTGCAGACAGGTATTTACTGCTCTCCAAAAAGAATACCTTACATTTCCTATGGTGCTTTAAGTTTTCAGTTTCTCATTAGTTTTCTGGGAAAAAAAAACCGGTATCCCTGTAGCAAGGGCCCTGAATCTCACTCGCTTCTGCATCCTCAAAGATTTCACTCCACAAATCAATCCCTCCCTCCTGTCGGCATTCTTTTCAAATATACCCGTTCCCAAGTGTCACTCACCATTTCCTTTTGATTTTGTAAGGCCCTCTCTCAACCTTACAATGTCCTTCCCTTCAGAGCCAAGCCTTTCCAAATATGCTTGCGTCCTCCAGCTCCCCATAAGCTCCTGCCCCCTCCTCGCCACGGGAAGCGGCTCTCAGGTCAGGGATGAAAGAGGAACCAAAGTCCCAAAGGGCACCTCAGACCCTATTTGATCCAGTAACACTCCCCCCTCTGGAACCCTTCGGGAACTCTGTGGCACCATTCTCTATGGTTTGCCCTCTCCCTCTATGCCTGCTCCTTCCCCATATATGGGGCTCCTTTTCTTGTCCTGAAATATGACGTACATGTATAAAAGACCCACTCAACTGTCAGTTATCAATACCTCTGGGGAGTTCAGGGGTCTTAGGGTGAGAAGTCTATAAAACTTACAGATTGTCCAAATGTTCCACCAAAATGTGGAATTTAAAAAAAAATCAAGTGACCCCAAAGTTTCATCCTGCTCTATAAAACACCTCTGGTGGGGGGCCTGCGGGGCTCAGTTAAGCCTCTGCCTTTGGCTCAGGTCATGATCTCAGGGTCCTGGGATGGAGTCCCACATCGGTCTCCTTGCTCAGCGGGGAGCCTGCTTCTCCCTCTGCCTGCTGCTCCTCCTGCTTGTGCTCTCTCGCTCTCTCTCTGACAAATAAATAAAAAATCTTAAAACAAAACAAAAACCACCTCTGGTGGCCCACAATCATCACTGGCCCACAGGGTGCTAGTGGCCACATGCAAGCTGCTGTCTCCCAATTCTGTTCTCGTCCAGACAACTACTACGTTCTAGATGTGCATCCTCAGAAGCTGGAAAGCCCCCTCCACCCAGGGTCTTCTGCACACACTTCAAACCCAGCACTTGACCCCGCACCTCCACTACACCCCCTCCCATTCAGGGCAGGGCCCCAGCAGCATGCAGACACAAGTGCCCGAGACCTCCTAGTCAGCCATGCTGATTCTGTGTTCAAATTCCCCTCAAATCTAGCCACTCGTCTGGATCCTCAAGCCACTTCTCTATTTCAGGTCTTCATTTACCACCGAAGTTAGGGCAAAAATCGAATGGGACTCCCTGGGTTTAATTTCCCTTCTCCAATTTATCCCCCAAACTATAATCAGAAAAATCTTACTAAAATACAAATCAAAACATATAACCCTTCCAACTAAGGCCCCTCCACAAATCACTAATGGCCATATTACAATCTGCAACTGGTCACACAGCACTGAAGAAAAACTCCAACTGAATTCAAAGTCATTTCTCATCTTCCTCCACCATGAGCCCTCACATTCCAGTCATGCTAGACAACTTGAAACTCCCCAGAATGTACTCCATTTTCACTATTTGTCAAAGGTTACCTTGCTAAGTAGCTTTCTTGGAATGGCTCCTTCTTCCTGAAGGCCGGGCATAGATGCCCTTTCTGTGTTCTCTACGACAGCTACCTCATCATGGCGCTACAACACTATTGTAATAGTCAACTCGTCAGTTTACTACAAGCTTCTAAAGGCAAAACGTCTCATTTCTGTACCTGTACTACTGACGTGGAGGAAGGGGCTGAATAAATATTCATAAAACTCAGTCTCGAAAGGGCCCTCAGAATTAATTCTACTTCTTCCTCCATCCCTTCATCAAATGCCTGTTCTCCTGTGTAACCACCCTGCTAAGTGAATGTCCAGCCTCTTGAACACCTCTGATGATGGGGAAGTCGCTTAGTAAACACCGACGTCAGCAAGGCCTCATTCTGGACATACACACAGAATTCACTAGAAGGAGCTCACAGCTCACAGTCTGTTGTCACCTCATCTGACAAGATCAAGCCCTTGCTGTGGCTGTGGCAGGAAGCTGGTGACATCAATTGTTGCCGGTTTCAGAAATACCTGGCAGAAAGAGCACTGGGGGTAGGGGTGGGGGTGCCTGCTGGAAATGAGTCTGGGAACGATAAAGTTGGGTCGTTTTCATATTGTTAACACAGCTAGGGTTTCCCAAACTCTTTTTGCCCTAGCTTGTGTCTTCAATGTCTAAGCTCCAGAATCACCACATTGTCAAAAAGGAAAGTCTAATGGGACCATTTTGCCCTAATTCCAGGAAAGTCTAAGAGAACAGAAAAAATATCATTAAAGTCAATTATTTTATTGAAGGAGATAAGTTATGCAAATGTTAACTGATTGTTGGCCAAGGGAAGAAACGTGTTGGAAGTCAGGTATATTGGCGGACAAGAGAGAGTACCTAAGGTTCCACCCAAAAAATATTCAGCATCAGGGTTTCCGTATTTCTCCATGGGTCACTTTCCATTCAAAGGATTCTGGAGACAAAATGAGGTAAGATTCTTTTGGTTATCAACCAAGAGTCTTTAGGTCTTCTCTCAGCCAAGGCATCCAGGAAAGTATACAGGCAAACCTCAGAGATACCACAGGTTTCGTTCCAGACCACCAGGATAAAGCAAATATCACAACAAAGCAAATCAAATCAATTTTTTGGTTTCTCAACACGTATAAAAGTTATGCTTACACAATATTGTAGTGTATTAAGTGTATAATAGCATTATGTTAAAGAACAACATACATGCCTTAATTTAAAAATATTTTATTGCTAAAAAGTGCTAACCATATCATCTGAGCTTTCAGCAAGTCATAATCTTTTTGCCGGTGGAGGGTCTTGTCTCGATGTTGATGCAGCTTCTACATCAGCCCTTGGCTGCTTCACCATGCACTTTTAGGTTATAGAGATGGCTTCTTTCCTTTAAACCTCACAAACCAATGTCTCCAAGCTTCCAACTTTTCATCTGCAGCTTCCTCACCTCTTAGCCCTCACAGAATTGAAGAGTTAGGACTTTGCTCTGGATTAGGCTTTGGCTTAAGGGGATGTTTGATCTTCTGTCCAGACCACTGAAACAAGGCTGTTTCGCTTTCTTAACATTTGTGTGTTCACTGGCACACACATTCAGCACTTTTAATTTCCTTCAAGAACTTTCCCTTTGCATTCACAACTTGGCTAACTGGTGCAAGAGGCCTGGCTCCAGCCTATCTCGGCTTTCAACACGCCTTTCTCACTGAGCTTAATCACTTCTAGCTTTTGACTTAGAGTGAGAGATGGGGGACTCTTCCTTTCACTTGAACACTGAGAGGCCATTGTAGGATTACTAACTGGCCTAATTTCAATATGTTGAGTCTCAGGGGATAGGAAGGCCCAAGGACAGGGAGAGACGAGGGAATGGCTGGTTGGTGAGCAGTCAGAGTACACACAACATCGATTAAGTTCACTGTCTTATACGGGCATGCTTTGTGGCACCCCAAAATAATTACAATAGTAACATCACAGATTACCGTAAGAAATAGGATAGTAATTATAAAGTGTGAAATATTGTGAAAATTACCAAAATGTGATACAGAGACACGAGGTGAGAAATGATGTTGGAAAAATGGCACCAATAGACTTGCTCCACGCAGGGTTGCCACAAACCTTCAATTTGAAAAAAATGCATTATCTGCGAAGCTCAATAAAACGAAGCACAATAAAACGAGGTATGCCTCTAATTTATTTTTCAGATTCCTCTGCAGGATTAAAAAGTCTTTTTCGCATCACATTGCCATGCTCCCTGCTCTTGGTCCTCTTTTCCATGTACTGGAAAATAAAAGGAAGGGGGGAGAAAAGAGACAGCAGATTATATTACCATTTATATCAGCTGAGTTAAATATTTTAAAATATTTGCAAAATAGTTTTTGCTGATAAAATTCTTATTTGTCTTTTATTTCACTGAATCTGAAATTGCAAACACAGTACAGCACCTACATCCTAAGAGGTGCACAAATATTTAATGAATTAATTTTCTCCCAAAATATGAATTCAGTAAATATTTAAGATAAGTGAGTCCTGTCCTGTTCTGCAGGAACTCACAATCTATTGAAGTCATCTAACCTCTGCTTGAACACTTCTAGCTATGAGCAGCTAACTAGCTGAGAGGTAGCCTGTTTAATTGTTGGACCCTTCTACTTGTTCCAAAGGTTTTTTTTTTAATGTTGAACCAATAAGTGTTTCCCTGTAAATTCTCCTACTGCCCTCTATTTCTTCTTGCAAGTATCTGATTACAGAAAATCCACTTACTACCTCTTTTTTAGGCTGAACATTGCTGGTTTCTACAAAGGCTCATAGAACATGGCTTCTGCCTTCTAATAGCTACCTTTTATAAGGTGCTTTAATATCAATATCTCTTATAAAAAACATCACAACCAGAATTAAATGCAGTGTTCCACACAGTCTGACAGATGTGGGCTACAGAGGACCTACTAGTTCTTATGACCTAGACATTTTATTTCTATAAATATTATCAAGAGTAATTGGCTCTTAAGATATCCATCGACAGATGAATGGATAGAGAAGATGTGGAATATATATACAATGGAATATTATGCAGCCATCAAAAGGAATGAGATCTTGCCATTTGCAACGACGTGGATGGAACTGGAGGGTGTTATGCTGCATGAAATAAGTCAATCAGAGAAAGACATGTATCATATGACCTCACTGATATGAGGAATTCTTAATCTCAGGAAACAAACTGAGGGCTGCTGGAGTGGTGGGGGGTGGGAGGGATGGAGTGGCTGGGTGATAGACATTGGGGAGGGTATGTGCTATGGTGAGCGCTGTGAATTGTGCAAGACTGTTGAATCACAGATCTGTATCTCGGAAACAATGCAATATATGTTAAGAAAAAAAAAAAGAAGATAGCAGGAGGGGAAGAATGAAGGGGGGGAAATCGGAGGGGGAGACGAACCATGAGAGACAATGGACTCTGAAAAACAAACTGAGGGTTCTAGAGGGGAGGGGGGTGGGGGGATGGGTTAGCCTGGTGATGGGTATTAAAGAGGGCACGTTCTGCGTGGAGCACTGGGTGTTATGCACAAACAATGAATCATGGAACACTACATCAAAAACTAATGATGTAATGTATGGTGATTAACATAACAATAAAAAAATTTAAAGAAAAAAAAGGGTAATTGGCTCTTGGCAACCATATTATCCTATTAGTTCACATGGAAACCTATATTCAGCTGAAACTCCCAGGATCTTTTCATTACAAATAGTCATCTAACCTGATTCTCTCCAAATCCTACATTTCTGTAGTCAGTTGGATCTAAATGCAGTTTTCACCTTGAAGGTTTTCAGGCTAGTATTTGGATCTGGCCAGTAGATTCTAAGTAACAGGAAATACACAGCCTGGCACTTTGAAAAAGCACTTGTTTAAAGCAGAGAAACGTGAATATAAGTGTTTTTGTATGGATATATATACAAGCTTATATACACCAATAGACATATTTTAAAGGTGATTGAAGGGTCCCTATGGAAAAAGGAAAAAAAGTAAAAGTAAATTCAAGTTGAAAAAACGAAGTGTATGTGAACAAAATCTTTTAGGAGCCAGAGATATGGGAAAAGGCCGCAGAAATGAAAATCAATGATAGAGAGCTGAGTAGGGACTCGACTGGGTCCCCTGCCCCGGACCGCTGAGCCAGTGCTGGGAAGGTGCATGCTTACTGCATCTTCGGGTCCCATAACCTCAAATAAGAGGAGCTAGGCTAGATCATCTCTGAGTAGTTTTCTAGATCTAAAGTTTTGATTGAAGAGTTCTAACATAGCCTCTGGAATGACAGTTTTCAAACTTTTTTTTCTTCTTCATCAAAGGGCCACTTCAAATTACTGATGAAACACCAGGTCCCTTTAACCAAAATCATTCCTTTTATTTGTCACACATTAATTTTCCTCCTAAGATTGTCAGGGGGAAAGAGCATTTCATCACTTTAAAAACTATTTTAAAAAAAGGCACTGTTCTAGAACATGGAGGGATACCTACTCTGAGAAAAATATTTGGTATCTATCTTTAATCACATATACTGGACTTCCTCCAGCAATCAGGTTGGGAAGAGGGTTGTAAGGGTAAATCATCAGAAGATAATACTTTGTAGGCAGCCAAAATAATAAGTTAAAGAGCAAATTAAAAATATAATCTATGTTAAAATGTATGTTAAGATATCCCCAAAGGGAGTCCAGATGGCCTTTGAATAAAAGAAGAAAAAAAAAAAGAATGAACATGATGTTATTCACAAAACTTCAGTGAACAACACAACCAAACCAAACCGAATCAAAAAATTAAGAGGGACAAAACAGGATGCTGCAAAAGTAGTATTAGTGATTATTTCGATAGAAAGAAGAAAAGCAGCAACACAGCAGCAAATAGAGGCTAAGGGAACTGGCCAGACCCTTTTTCTAGTTGAAAGCGTCAAGGAATTAAGTACTCAAATGGTACATGAAGGAGATGGTTAGAGGAGCATGTGAAAGGCAGGAAATGGTCAACTAGAAAGCATTAAAGGCAGAGAGGAAATAAATGAGTGCAGGTTCAGAGGACTGAAGGAGGAAAGAACAGACAAAAACATCCATAAATCAGGTAATTTACTGACATAAAAACCACACAGAGGACTTAGAAAATAAGTCAAGGAGAAAATCCAGAATTTGTATGAAAACAGACTCAAAGTAAGGAAAATATCCACAACATTCTACCTAATAGTCACTAACAGCTCAGGACCACCTGGGAAGAAAATTTCGAATAAATATCTAATCACCAAACCAATGGCAAAATTACTGAACTGTAAGAAGAAAAAAAAAATCTAAACTTAGGGAAAAAGTGATCTGACACAACTGAAAGCATGTGAGAAATAAACAGTTGTACTGAATAAAGTAGTGTGGGCTTCATTTTCCCATCATCTTATTAAAACGGGAACAAAGCCTTAGGTTCAGTTTTCATATAAACTAGCTTTACATGTAAATATGAAGAAAAACTCTTTGAAAATCAATTTAAAACATTTCCGTATGTACACATTTGTGCAAAGAAAATTATCACCCTGAACTGAGAACTCCAGAAAGTTCTTCAAAACAGTAAAGACACTGGAAAGGGGTTCTGGGAAGGAAAAAAAAAAGCTTCAGATTGAAAAATACAAAAGTTGAAGATAGATGCTGGACAGCTCAAATATAACACCTTTCAATATGAAGCTAATAGGAAAAAATTTCAAAAATATAGAAAAGGAAAGAAAACTGGATGGCAGGTATTCAGAAGTTATAGATTTTTAAAGGTCTGGGACATAAAACAACTGATGTACAAAACAGAAATGGAGTTAAATTTAAAGATTTCAAAAGCACTCTGCTATATGCCCAAGTCCAAGTCATGGCCTAAAACCGGGTTCAGGAAATGAGTCTTTCCGGCCAAGTCAAACTAGATCCGTGTGGCTTGTACATGCCATGGTTATGAAGAAATTCACAATTTTAAAACTATGAGGAGCCCAAGCCTAGCTCCTGCCACGTTCTATGAGGAAGCGGAGGCCCACAAAGTGTTAGTTACCTGCTATGGCTAATAGCTGACTGACCAGTCTTTCTACTAAACAAACTCAGTTTCCCAGCCCTTACAATTCATCCAGAGGAGTTACAATGATTACAATAAGGAAGTCGTTTTCATTTATGTGCATGCAAAAAAAAAAAACAAAACAAAACAAAAAAACACGCCAGCAATGTCCTTTCATTTCTCCTCTTGGTTTTAGGGGAGGACATACATATAAAGTGTCAATTCTCTCAGTTACACTAAAATTTGGAATAAAAATTAGTAATGGTATTCTAAATACTGCTCAGAAATGTTCTATTCCACTGTTCGACCACTTTCATCCTCTAACACTTTTCTTACCTCATTCTTCAAGCATTTTCTCATCTCCCGATCGAGATCATTGCAATGACCAAAAAATTTCAGAATGCTGTGCTAAAAGGAAGAAGAGGGGTAAAATATTTCATCCCATAATATGCTAAGGTCTCTGGCACATAGAATTTAAATACTTATTCCTAGAGAAATGGGTTTAATGTGTCACCACCCTGTTAATAAGCAAACAGTTAAATCACAGGTATAAAATATACAAATAAACGGACTTCTCCTGGCCTTCCTAAAAGGAGGGATAAACGCTGTAGAGGTAGAAATGAAAACTAAAAAGACTTTCCCTTGATAAAAGGGAAGCCTATTAACCTGCCCAAACCTCACGACGACAGAGTGTAAACAATTCTGTTTTCTAATAGCCCTTTCTTTAAGGGCATGTGAAAATCACAGCACAGCCATCTCTACCACAGGGAGCGATACCAAGTGTAGTGTGGCCATATTAACAGGACCACTGACTTCTTCACTAGCAACCATTCTGTCCCACTGAAGAATCACCTGATAAATGCTGGGGGCCAACACTAATTTTCTCATTTGCTTCCATCCAAAATGTCATCAAAATACATCAGAAACACGTAACACTATTATTAAATGGCCTATATGGGCCGCATAAGTAAGCCACTAATCCACAATGTAAGAAAATCTATATCTAAAGTACAAAGTCTGTTTTCTTTGCAAAGCAAAAATAAAAATCTCCTCGTGGTTTCAAGGCCTATGACGATTTTCATGGCAAAAAGTATGAATGCTCTGAAGCAGATTAAGATGAAGACTGAAGTCAAGAACACAAATTTTAGTCGGGCTATAATTAGTGTGTTTGCATATCACGATTGTTAAGGAAAGGGTAGGACAGCATGGTGATGTCCTATAATGACATGCCATAAGTGCTGAACTTGTAATAATAAGCACCTTTTCCTTTTCTTTCTAATTAAGGCTTTCATGGAAACCAGACAACACGTAATTAATAAACTGTGCCTCATGCTAGTCCTTTCTTTCCCTGCTTCACCGCCACTGCAAATGTCCTTTTCTGGTCCACAGTGAATAAATGGGTCATTTTTTCTGGCAAGCATTTAAGGTAAACTAAGATCTCCTACTGGTTACCTAAGGACCTTTTCAGAATAAGTATCTCTTGTGTATTTTTCCTGAACTATTTCCTTGACAACAAATGAACAGGAACCATGCATTTTCACACACCTTCTGGTGAAGCAGAACTAACAGAAAGGATTAGACTTTCGGAACATAAGGCAATATTTAATAGTTTGGTTTACACTGACTCATATCATCCCATAGACATACATCTTATTTTTAAATCCAAGACAGAAGCTTTTTTTTTTTTTTTTTTGCTTTTCCAACATTTAAACCCGAAGAAGAATTATACTCTTGTGACATTACATGAAAAACAAAACCAAAGTGCTCCATTGGAATTGGTTTATGAAATGCCCGGGGTCTACAATTCTCTTATATACACGTGGCATAAGCCTCTAGTGTGCGATATCTATTTCTAGAGAATCAAAACTGAGAAATTGATTGAATAAATGAATCAATCGATTGATACCTTGAAGACAATGTCCCAAGCACTAGGGATACAGCAGTAAGGAAGGTGGACCTGGGCCCTACTCTCAGTACATGGTCAGAGGGAAGAGCCAGCTAACAAAGTGATTGCTATAAAGCTGTAGTTTTCCAAGTGTAGTCCAGGGACACCCACGAGTGCCCAAAACCTTTCCAGAGCATGTACACGATAAAAACTATTTCCCTGAAAATCAAAGATCTTGTTTTGTTCATTTTCATTCTCTCACAAGGCTACCATAGAATTTTCCAGAGGCTGCACAAAGAGCAATATCACCCAAGACTGAACATGAGGCAGATAGGAGGATCTGGCTATGTCCTATTAAGCCAGGCATTAAAGAGAATTGCAAAACTGCAAAAGCAATGTCATTCTTTTCACCTTCTTGTTTTGGAAAATAAGATCTTTTTTATGAAAAATCACTATGTTAACATGTATTGGATTTATTATTGTATTTTTATGTAAATTAGTATTTTTTTAATTTCTCAGTTTTAATTTCTAATTCAATAAATATTGGTAGCTATAGCCCACATACACAAAAGTTATGTGGGGTCCTCAATAATTTTTAAGAGCATAAAGGAGTTGTGAGACCAAAAAGTGTGAGAACTAAAAGTAGCAACTGTATTATGTGTGGGGTTACTGGAGTACGGAGCGACTACACCAAGAGAATGTAGGCCAGGAAAGGAGAAAAGGAAAAGGAAATAACAAATGACGCTGAATAAAACCTGGAGGATGGTGAAACCTGGTCTAGCACACAGGAAGTGGAGATAGCGGGGAGGGCTCTAAGACAAGCAAGGAGAAAGCAAGCACAAAGGCTTAGAAGAGGGCAGTGTGTTCCGGCACAACTGCACACAGGAGCAAGCAGAAGACGGGCAGGAGGGTGGTGAGGCGCAAGGCTAAGTGGGGGACGGGTTCATGAAGGCCCCGAAACAACACAGGGTAAGAAATTTAGATCTGATAACCGCGGGCAAAGGGAGCCATTAGAGGGGAACAATGATTCATCTTACGTTTGAATGATCACTCCAGTGCAAGTGAACGGGGACAGAGAAGAGGACAAAACGGTCAAGGGACCAGGCTGGCCCCACTAAGATAACACTGGAATTGACTGGTGTTAAGAACAGACACATAAATCAGTGGAACAGACTAGAGAGCCCAGAAGTAGCCCCAGCCACATATGGTCAGGATAATTCAGTAGGGAAAGGATGGTCTCTGCAACAAATGGTCCTGGAACAACAATATCCACAGAGAAAGAAACACTGGCCCATACCTCACACAATACACAAAATTTTAACCTGAAATGAATCACAGCCCTAGATGTAAAAGCTAAAACTCTATAACTTCCAGAAGAAAAAAACAGGAGAAAAATCTTTGTGACCGGGAAACATACAAAAATACTTGGAAAGCAAAAAAAAAAAAAAAACACCCACAACAACAACACCTCCCACAAACAATAAGAGAAAAAAACCTAGTAATTAGACCTCAGCAAACTTAGAAACTGCTCTTTGAAACACAACCTTAAGAAAATGAAAAAGGATGCTACAGACTAGGAGAACATATTCACAATACACTCATCAGACAAAGGACTTGTGTGTCGAATGAAAAAAAAAGAATTCTTAAAATTAAATAAAGCAAACAACCCAATTTTAAAACATGGGCAAAAGAAAAATTAATAATAAATAGATAAAATTTAAATGAAAAAAATAAAATAAAATATGGGCAAAAGACTTTATATGAGTGGCCAATAAGCACATGAAATGATGCTCAAAAACCAGCCACCAGGGAAATAAATCTAAAACCAAATGAGACACTAGTGCACACGCATAAAATGATTAACGTTAAAAAGACAGTATCAGTTCTTGATCTAGACGTATGCTGAAAAGAGTCTGCCTAAAGTATATTGTCAAACATTCTTTGAACCAACAAAAATATCTAACTTCACAGGTCAAAGGTATTACTTACTACCTTACCATTAGTCTTTAAATTTTACTCATTTAAATGGTATTTACTATTATTATAATTTGATATATCTACAGTTTATGAATATCATGAGAAAAACAACACATCATGCAAAGTTAAAGAAATACAGAAATGCTCCTTATAACTGTTTCACGTGTCAAGTATATGGAAAAAGCTAAATATTTGACATCTGTAAAAATATCAGCTTAATTTAATGATTTCCAAAAATTGGCTTCCTTTCTATTTTGGTCTAAACCATGGAATTTTACTTTCATTCCACTAACAAGTAAGCAAACCTGACAAATTAGAACAATCATAATTTAAATCTAGCTAACATCTATTATAAAAAATGTTTCAATCTCCTTTAAACACAGAATAGTAGACATCAAGGAAAATCTTAGAAAAATCTTAAAATAATTCCATTATGATCAGAAGAGTCAGAATTTAACATAAGTGTTCTAGTGCCCTGTAATTTAAAAAAGGAAAGTATTTTATTGTTAGAACGTGGATTCTAACTATTACATATCATTTCAGAAGTTCCCTAACAAACTACCACGCTTGATTTTTACTAATCATGAAAGGAGATGGTGTCTGAAAAATCACAAGCCATCAGTTACTAATCTTTAGTAAGCCAAGATCCACTGTACTATCATTCCTTTCCATTAGTGGAGGTAACATTTTACATCAGTGTGTTGTACCTAAGTTTCATTTTGGCTTTATGGTCATTTTTCTGAAGTCTTACATTTTTGTGACATTCCTTAAGCAAGTTAATCAAGACGTTGCATTCTTCAGTGTGCAAGTGTGGAGATAAGTCAGGATGCATCTTTAGGAGGTGACGGAGCACAGCAAAGCAACCTGTGGATACAAGAGTGTCTTGAATATGTGTGACTGTATTTGTTAATGCGACCTAAAACTATTTCAGTACAAACGTAAAGTGAGCTTTATCAGAAAAGAATGTTGACCTTAGGCAAATTATTAAACCTGAGTCTCAGCTTCCTTATCCAGCAATTTAACAGATTCAACAAGTCATCAGGTGCTGTCTGGAGAACCTGCAGGTTCAGAAAAAAGCAGAATTCCTCAAGAGACCCAATCCTGGAAATAAGTGCTCCAACAGAAACAGCTAGCCTATATTAATAAGCCTGATTTCAATTATTTTCCCCACATTCCTGAAATTGACTACAATTCATTTTGTCCAGTTGAAATTCTATAAAATAAGAGAATTGGTTTATTAATCCTTTTAAAATGTATATTCCTCTGAGAGGGTTAAAGCCTCGTTGGCCAGTCTCACTTTAGTGTCAATTCATATGGACTGCTTTCTTATTCCTAACATCTGGCTGAGAAAATCCGACTAAACAATGAAGAGAAACAAAAAGCAGATGGGAAAAAAGTTTCTCAATTTAGCAGATATATCCATAAAATGTAATTATTACAATGAAAGGAAGAAGCTGAAATCTCAGAAATTAAATTTAATTGGTTCTTTCACCAAGTAGAAAATTAGCAGCCAACGTCAAAGGAAAAGCATTATTTTGAAGTGTTTGCCACAGTTATGAAGCACTATTTACCTATTCCTTTTTTTTAACCTATTCTTTTTGACTTGGAAAACATTACCAAAAAAAAGAACCAATTAATGTTTTAATCTTTTACAAGTTTCAAGAAAGAAAACCTAGAAGAAAATAATGACCTTAGTTGGGCAAAGAGTTCTTAGATAGGTCAAAAGCACAATTCACAAAAGAAAAAATTGGTAAAATCTTATCAAACTTAAAAAACTTTCTCACTTCAAAATACACCATTAAGAAAATGAAAAGACAGAGGGATGAAAAGTACAACATAGGGAATGTCGTCGATAATATTGTAATATATTTACCATGGTGAGCATTTCATAATGCATATAATAAAAAAAAGAAAAGAAAAAGACAAGCCACACTTTGGGTGATAATGACATGTTAATGCAGGTTCATCAGTTGTAAAAACATACGACTCTGGTGGGGGATGTTAATGGTGGGAAGGCTGTGCATGTGTAGTGCAGGGGACAAATGGGATCTCTGTACTTTCTGTTCAATTGTGCTGTGAACCTAAAACTGCTCTAAAAAATAAATACCCTACAAGCTACAGACTAGGAGAAAACATTTGCAAATCATATACGAAAAAGGATTTGTTATCTAAAATATATAAGCAATGCTTACAAACATCCAGCATTTAAAATGGACCCCAAAAATGGGAACAAATACTTCAATAAAGATGATTGAGGAATGGTTAATTAAGCACATGAAAAAATGCTGAACACCATTAGTCACAGGGAAATGCAAACTAAGACCACAATGAGATGGTAACTACACATCTGCCCAAATAGCTATAATCAAAAAGTCAGACAATAACAAGCATTAGTTAGGATGCAGAGAAAACAGACCTCATGCATTGCTAGTGGAAAGGTAAAATAGTACACACTTAGGAAAACAATTTGTCGGTGTCTTAAGGAGTTACACACAAACTTACCAAAGGACCCGGACCAGAAACCGCACTCCTAAGAATCTACCCAAAAGAAATGAAAATACATATGTACACAAAGACATGTATGTGAATGTTCACAGCATTATTCATTATAGCCAATACTGGAAACAATCCAAATATCCAATAACCTGGTAACCGGACACACAAATGTGGTATATCTAGACAACGGAATACTATTTGGCAATGAAAAGGAACGCACTGATACAGACACCAACATGGATGAACCTCAAAAGCACCAAGCTAAATGAAAGAAACCAGATCCAAAAGACTGTATAATTCAATTTATGTGCAATGTCTAGAAAAGGCAAAATTGTAGAGAAAAAAAGCTGATGGGTTGCCTGGGCCTGAAAGTCAGAGTGAGGATTATTTGCCATTGGGCACAAAGGAAAATTTTTACGTGATAAAAGTGTTTTAAAATAGGATTGTGGTAGTGGATACACAACTGCAGTTCACTAAAATCACTGAACTCACTTACAATTGGATGAATTTTATATGTAAATTGTACCTTAATAGAGCTAATACCAAAAAGTTCAAGAAATTCAATCTACCTTCCACTCACAAGTATAATCCTTAAAAATATCTAAACAAATAATTCCAGAGAATTATAGTATTCCTACTATTGCAGAACTCAATTTATAAAAATATCAGATCATTGTTCCATTGAGTGACTTCAATTAAGTACGCGCACACACATGCACACACGTAACATGCAACAGCTGAAGATCTCATATCAGGCCATTGTGGACAGGTAAGTGTTTGAAATGGAAACTGGAAATGCAGCCAAGTTCAAGTTTGGTTTGCCTGCGACTGACTACAAAGTCTTTTTAATGACATAATCTTTTTGCCTCAGAAAGACGAGATCTCATATAGTCTAGCAGTTTAAATCATCTAATATTATACCAATATTATGCATCTACACCTATTAGTTATCTGGTTATCTGATTTCAGCCTCACTTTCTTCTGAAGGAAGATGTATACTGGCTTAGCCACCTAGAAAATGTCTTTTTATTTTGTAAATCTATTTAACAAAAAATTTTTACATATTTCTATCAACCAGCCCTCAAATGCATGCTTTCACAGTTCGGAAACAAGCTCACAATGTACTGAAATGACCTCGTTAATTGGCAAATTAAATACTTTAGAAGACACTTTGGCTGCTGAGATAAATACATGCATGTTGTATACAAGTATAAATGCATACATATCACAATGTATATTTTTCCTCCCTCTATTACAAAAGTTTATGCCATTGTAGGCCCAGCCAGGGTGCCAATAAGACATCTTCCCTTCTACTTACTTATCCTACGTAACTATATCCAAGAAGAAAATGGTTTCATACGGTTTCCCTTTCCTAGTCTCCTTGGTAAAAGCTAAGCTACTACTTAACTTACAGTTCTAAACACTGACCAAATCCCTTATCTAACGAATTCCTTGCTTTACCAGTCATTCCCCTCTTTCCTCCACCCTATCTTTTTCGTGAGATACCCTCTTTTTCTTCTTTCCCTCGATCCACCCTGTACCCACACTTCCTTCCGGCACCTGGTGTCGTCTGGCTTCATGTAACCACTGGCGCACACGCAGGTGTACTGCCAGACTGCTGGGTGTAATCCACAAAGCACAGCTATAAAACAATGGCATTATTCTTAGAACACGCTGATGTGAGTGCTGGTATCTTCCAGCAGTCATCTTTAAAAGCCTATTCTAATCAGCATTATTGTAACTCAAAGTAACTTATGAACTGAAGAAAACTAAATGTATATTCCATATTCTTCCTTTTAAGATTCCTTCAAAGCCATATCTATACTATTAGTGTAGAAAGTAACTTGTTGAAACATTTATCACATGCTAGGCACAAGTATTAGAATCCTTCCAATGACTGTAGCAAGTAGGTACCTTTATAAATTCAGTGGAACCATAAGAAATTGCCTTTTTGTAGTTCAAATATGCATTACTCACATTTTCATAGTAAAACTAAGCCCAGGTCACATAGTTAAGTGGCAGAGTTACTACCCAATGCAATCTCTCACCAGGACAGATCATTCCCATGTTCAAAACAGGAAAGACATGCCTTCCCAGCAGTTTGTGGAAGAAATAAATACAAAGAGTAAAAACTATTTCCCAAAGAGCCTCTGGTTGGCTACAAGTTCAACAGACACTAATTCTTGGCCTAGCTTCCAAAGAAGTCAATGTAGTATTATCCCGTATAATTAGAAATAGTCTGTCTCCCTCAAGAAAAAGAACAGTACTGTTTTTGTCCTGATCAATCAAGTCCAAAATAATTGACAATGTAAAAATCTGGGGAGAGTGCTCGGGATGAAGATGGCTTTGACTCTAGGTTTAAACAGGAAGCCATTAATGAAACTGGGAATATTTACCAATTTAGGGAAGCTCACATCAGAGGAGATAGATAAAAGAAACAACATGGATTGACAATCAAAAGTTGTGGACTTATCTGTCCATAAGTTCTAACACTTTGGTTACTTAATCTGACACCTAAGTCTCTTCCGTAAATTGGAATTAGCTCTTGACCTGTATCTCTGGGTGGTCATAAGGTTTAAAATAACATATGTGGAAGCATCTGAAATAGTGAGCAGTAAGTGTGATATATGTAAAGTATTATTTGTATATCTGAAATACTCTGTCACAGGATGGGAAAGGCTGAACTGAATTTACAGTGGTGTTACCAAAGCGCTTCCCAGAACAGGACTGGAAGCCAAAGGGTGGATGTTAACAAAGGCAGATGTCCTCTTCCTGGACTGTCCAACAATGAAACAGGCTGCTATGTGAAGTTCTCGGTTATCTGTCCTCATGTACCCCAAGGAGACTGGCTACATCAATTAGGGACGCCACAGCTTATTCTTGCATTGCATTCTTAAGTTTGTTCTCAAATCTAAGTTCACAATTAAATGATTTTAACCTATTTCCAAAAATAAAATTCACAGTCAATGAATAAAAAACTTGTCACCACTAAAAATACACGAAACAATTTCAAAAGGGTAGTGCCAAAATCATTAACATCAGCCGCACTGCTGAACGAAGATGAAGGGAACATTCATTTGTGATAAGACTTCACACATGGGTGTTTGTACTAAGAAAGAGGAATAAATTCCATTCAAACTGTTATCATTTAAACACAAAACTTCAGTCCCACCTTTACTTTGGCATTTAGAAAACATCAGAAGGGTTAACTTGTCACAGTTACAATGCTTCCCTCCCCACCTCAACTCCCCCACTGCCTTAAGTGTGCACAACAGCCACTGAAACTCTTAAACGTGTTCAGCTGTGACAAGCTGATGTTCCAATAACTGGGGGACAGGCCCCTGCAAAGCAATTTTAACTTTTACTTGGGAGTAAGCTGGGAGGATAGAAGCAGTATGGTACTCTCAATAAAGATGTAAAAATTATAGGCTTATTTTAGTCACTCCACCTTAGTCGACCAAGACTGAGGTAAAATTTTCCTAATGAGTACTCCATGATAGACAGGTTTCAACCACCAGGTGGCACAATTTTAGAAAATAAACCAAGAGTAACCAATGCATTAACTCTAGTAAAGAAAAGTAACCATTCTAAATAACATTTCAGCAAATATATAGTCACAAGGAGGAAACCCCTTATTTTAATGCCACTTGGGTTTCCTTTCAAAAGATTCTGCTGTTCGGTGGCTGCACCAGAAAGACATTTATACTACAGCTGCAATTTCTAACGTCATTTTAAAACAAACAAAAAACAAGTCCAGAAAAGTCTCTTGGGCAAAGTTTGAAGAAGCTGTTCTCTAGGAAGAACTGTAAACTTAATGCTTTCTAAAACATATCTTTTCTAAAGTCTACTTTTCAGAAAGCACTGGAATGAGTTAAATTAATATTTCTGCAACTATTTCAAACTATGCACCATATTCAGCAGAGGTAACAGACATAGCAGGGTATATTACCTACCCTACCCTTTTCTTTGCAGTTGCAAAGTAACCAAATCTAAACATATGCTATTGAGTGACTAGTGCTCCCAAATACAGACCATGCCCCACTGTTACTGAGAGCAACCCCTAGGCTGCCTGGGCAAAAGGACTATAGGGCTCTTAAGTTCCACCACACAGTTTTTAAGGAATGGGCCAAGCTGTAGCTTTTTCTGAACAAACATGTATCAGCACTCAGTAGATGCTGGGCATTCTGCCAAATCACCTGAATTTCAGAGGAAAAAAAATCAGTCCATATACCCCAAAGAACCCACAGGCTAGGGAGGGAATATTCTTGTTAAATGCGCATAGTAAATATCCAATAAATGTTTACCAAATATTGAATTTAGGATTATAGATCTGAAAATTGGTTCACACCTCAACAGTTTAAAAAAAAAAAGACGAAAATAAGGCTCATCTGAAATAAACTAAACAAGTGCAGAAATCTGTATGTATAGCAAAGGAGATACAAGGGGCACCACAACACAAGTTTGCCAGTGCAAACTTCTTTACGCACTTAAAATTTTAATTGAAGGTTTCCAGAACTCGGATTTACTTGACTCTTCATAAAGAACCTATTGTGAACCTACAAGCACGGCAATTTTTAAACCCAGTAAAAGGGATCTGAATGTGTCCTTTCCTTGAAAAGGGTACTGACGAGGATCTCACTGGATTCCCACTTCGCAAGACGGACTGGTGGCAACTTTCACTGCAGCTGAGATGTGCCCTAACAAGGCCCCCACCTTCTACCTGCAGATCCTAAACTCCTAGATGATAGCAATAATAATCATACAATTCATTGAGTGCTCACCGTATCAAACACTGTGAAGGGCTTCCCTTCTCACCATCGAGGCCATGGGTTATACCCATTTTACAGGCGTGGAAGCCTAGGCTCAAGGACGGGAGGAGCCCGCCCCAGATCACTAGGCTCGCGAGGGGCGGGATTGACTGCCGCAGAGAGTGAAAGGTCTAGGCCAAAGCACGCTCTAAAGTATCAGCGCATCCTCAGCAAGTGCCTGTGGGCGGAGAGCCCGGGACAGACCTCCAGCCCCCCGCGCGGTGGACTACTCAGTGGACTGCCTGCGAGCTGAGAGCCAAGGACACCCTGAAGACCAGCGGCCGGACCTTCCAGGTCCCAACCTCCGAGAGCGGCAGGGGGGTGTGGGGACTGGACACGGGGGGCGCGCGCGAGCAGGGGTCGAGAGGAGGGGCAGGTGGGTGTCCCGCGGCCTCCCCAGACACCGCGGGCAGGAAGAGAGCGTTCCTCGGAACGGCCCGGACTGCCGAGACTCACCCGACTCGCGGCCACACCAGGAGGGCTGAAGCGACAGTCACCAGCGAAGACTCCCCATTCAAAGGCCGGCAGTCAGGACGCCGGAGCTGGGCCAGCTCCCGGTGGCGAAGGTTCCCACGCCCTCCACAGCTGACCCCGCACGCAGCGGTAGCCCAGCCCCCGCAGCTCCGGCCCCTGAGGCGCATGCGCCACCCGGCCTGGACTAGCCCATTTCCGGACGCTGTCGGGGAGGGAGAGCGAGTGCACGGAGGCCGGCCGGAGCCTAAAAACAACAAGCCGAACCAACAAGCCAGATTTAGGGGGCTGAGATTAACTGCATTTAACTAATGTTCTCCGCTAACAAGAGTGATGCGGGGACTCGGCGAGTTTCACTTCTGCCGCTCCCCCACGCGGCCCCCTGTGCCCACGGTACAGTCCAAAGAGAGAGCTCCGGGGGGGCGGGACCGGAGGACGGCGGGAACTGCAATTGGTGGCTTTGAAGGCGCCCCGGGCGGGAAGAGCTGCTGAGAAGAGACACTGCTGGCGATGACTGACTGTAAGAGACTCGCGCGCGGCGTGGGATCGGGCCCTTGAATGTGGCGGGAGCCTTGAGAAAGCCACATCCCAGGCCTGTGGGGCGACTTTTCCGCGACTGCCACACGTCCCACGGTACGGGCTTGGCGCTTGGCCTCGGGTCAGGTGGGGAACTACGGTTGGGGCTGGGATGAGAGAGGGCAGCGACGCTTGGGCGTGATGTTACATCCGCCCACAGTGGGGCGGGGCCTTACCCGGACGTACGTCAGCTCCGGAGCCGCTGCCAGATGTGTGACGGGCTTCGGTGCCAGCCGGGGCTTGGGCTGAGCCTCTGCGGGGAGTTGGGTGTTTTGATTTTTTTTTTTTTTAATCTGGCTTGGCTTCCGTTTTTTTTTTTTCCGTCCATGCGCCTCTCGTGTTTTTCCTTATGCTCCAGTGGCAGCTCCTCAATGTAAGAGGAGGAGATCTACAGAAAAGTTACCTAAAAGGGTTCTTTTTTGTCCTGCGTTCATTCTTGAGCACATGATATATGCCAAGCACTGTGCTACTAAGAGCCAGAAGTAAAAAGAAATTAGAGCGTCACGGGGAATCAGAAGAGTTTACGCAGGGGTTTACCAGCCTTATTGGTGAGATTGAGGGCTCTTTCTACCACAAGTCTGTAGAAAGACATTTTGCAAACTTTACCCAGAATTAAGAATCTTCTGAGGCATTCTAAAAGTGCAGGTTTTAAAAAAAAAAAAAAAAAAAAAGTCACGCTCTAACGCCCTGCTCAGTGCCCACCCACCTACCAGTTCAAATCGTTGGGGCCCGGGAATCTGCATTTTTACAAGGTTACCCCGAAATCCAGTGTTTTCGATGGGAGACGTTGGTTTGATATATCACGGTTGGACCCTAATTCTCCCCAGGCTGCTTATCTCCCCAGGCACACTGCTTACAGAGAGTATCTAATATTTCATTCCACATGTATTTATCATTTCCCTAAATGTAGCCATGAATAAAGCAAACATAGTTCTTACCCTAGTGGCTCAATATTGTAAAACAATACAGTAATCAATAAGAAAGATAATTTTAGATAGTTCTATAAAGACAATAAACAATGGAAGATAGGGAAATACCTTTAGAATGGGTGGTCAGAATAAGTCTCAGACCAGATCCCATCTAAGCTAAGACCTCAATTACAAGAGCCACACATGTGAATATGTGCAAGAAGAACCTTCTAGGCCGGGGGTAACCGCAGGTACAATGGCCCTTCTCTGGAAGGATCCTTTTGTACTAGAGGAACTCAAGGCCAATGTAGCTGGAGCTCAGAAAGCCAGGGAGAGAGTGGAAGGTGATGGGGAGGGAGGCAAGAAGCAAACGGCCTTGTAGACCATGGTAAGGATTTTAGTTTTGACATTAGGGGAAGTTGGTCCTGTATCTGGATAAGAAAATAAATCAAGCTCAATTTTCATGATGTTGATTCTGTTCTCATGTTCTTAATTCAGTTGTTTTTCTCCTTCTACACAACTCCTAATAGTTTGCTTTATTTTTGTTCTAACTGCTGTTTTCAGTTCTTAAAATCTTGTTAACTATCAGTATCTTTTTTGGAAGTGGGCAATGGTAATAGACTATATGCAATGTTCAACAAACACTCAAATGGTAAAAATAAGTCATAGCCTGGATTCTTGTAGAGGGGTACTTCTCTCTTTGTCCTTGCAAATCTCATAGGCCTGGTGTAAGCAGATGAGATTGACGGACTGACTTACGCCTCTTTTCTTAAACATGGACACCAATGTCTGTATGCTCTTCTTGCAAGATAGGCAGAGAATTTAAATTGAAATTCTGCAGCTATCCTGCTTAATCTTTGTTTAGAAAACACACTTACTTGCTTTTTATGTGCCATATTTTAAAAGGGGCAGGGGGAAGATGCATATTTAGGGTCCCCAAATGAGATCAACTGTCATCCTCAGCCCATAGCTCCCCCCCTGACAAAAGTAATAAAAGGGCTCAGAAACCCCCTTCCCAGTGCCACAGCTGTGAGATAGCCGCTAAGCCATGCCTCTGAAGATCATTGCCTTTGTTGGTTGCTGAGGGAGCCATACCAGATTTGGGGCTCAAGACCTTTTGGACAGTTGAAGAATCTCCTCTTCAGGCACCAGGCAGGAAGAGTGAGGTAGCAGCAGTCTTTTAATTGGTGACACCTTAAAGGAGAAAGAGACTGCAATCCTCTTCACCTCTATCTCTTACTGTGTCCTCTAGACTAATACATCCTGCTGTTTATTCAGTATCTACTCTTGGCGTCCAAAAATTAACCTTAAAATGTACATATTCAAAATGGAATTCTTGAGCTTTCTTCTGCCCACACCTCTAGTCTCCCCCAACTCAGGTAATAGCAACTCCGTTCTTCCAGCTGCCTGGTACAAACATTGGTATCACCTCTGATTCCTCTTTCTTTCGTACCCCACATCTAGTCCATCAGGAAATCCCGTGGGCTCACCCTTAAGAGCATATCCAGCATCTGACCGCTTCCCACCACCTCTACTTCGGTCCACCCTCATCTCTTACCTGCCTTGCAGCAGCCTTCTGGCTGGCCTCCTGCTTCCACCCCTGCCCCAGGGCAGTAGCCAGCCTGATCCACCTCTTCTCAAAACCTTCCAGTGGCCAGTTTCTGTCAGAGTAGAAGCCATAATCCTTGCAGTGACCCCCTGGGCCTCCATGTTCTCTGACCTTATTCCCTCCTCTGTGCCTTTTCACTCTCTCTCCACTCTGGCCTCACTGAAGGCATCCTTCACCCTGTTCCTTGAAAGCCCCAGGGCTTTTGCACTTGCTGTTCCCTCTGCCTAGCAAGTTCTTCCACCAGCTAGCCACATGGCTCACTCTGTCCTCCAAGTGTTGGCTCAAATGTCCCCTTCCCTATGACGCCTGCTTACTCCACCCCCACATAATCCCCTGCTCCATTTTAACTACTGTTAGTTTCCTAGCTCTGTTCCATTCCCTTCCCTCTGCAGCATTTACCACTTTTAACACATTTTGTGATTTTCCTGTTGCCTCTCTCTCCCCACTAGAATGGATGCTCCATACCACCAGGGACTTTTGTCTTTATGGTTAAAGATTTAACTATCCCCATTGCCCACAGAAGTGCCTGGCACACACAGGTGCTCGGATTTTTTACATGAATCAGCCCATGAATGAATGATTTACTTATCATTACCATCAAAAGATCAAAATACTCAAGCGCCTGGGTGGCTCAGTTGGTTAAGCGACTGCCTTCGGCTCAGGTCATGATCCTGGAGTCCTGGGATCGAGTCCCACATTGGGCTCCCTGCTCAGCAGGGAGTCTGCTTCTCCCTCTGACCCTCTTCCTCTCGTGCTCTCTATCTCTCATTCTCTCTCTCTCAAATAAAAAAAAAAAAAAGATCAAAATACTCTAGCCAGTCAAGGAGAGAGAACACTAATTTTTAAAACCTCCAAAGCATATTTAAATATACAGCTTAGGGGCGCCTGGTTGGCTTAGTCAGTTAAGCGTCTGCCTTTGGCTCAGGTCATGATCCCAGAGCCCTAGAATCGAGTCCTACATCTGGCTCCCTGCTCAGCGGGGAGCCTGCTTCACCCTCTGCCTGCCTCTCCACCTGCTTATGCTCGCTCTCTGTCAAATAAATAAAATCTTTAAAAAACATTTTTTTAAATAAAAATAAGTATACAGCTTAAGGAGAAAATAATTAAATCCTCCTGTTGAAACACTCTTTGCAGAGTGCCTGAAAAAAGATAAATATCTGGATGTTTGACCTACCAATCAAAATCCTGGCTAAAAATATGCTGAAAAAGTCAGTTAAGTTAAACTTTTGTATTTGGTTAATACTTTGTTGTACTGTTTTTGTTTTTATTAAAGTGCCAAAGAGATGGATGAAACTCTTGCCGAGTTTATCAAGAGGACCATCTTGAAAATTCCAATGACTGAAATGATGACAGTCCTCAAAGCCTGGGATTTTTTGTCTGAAAAGCAACTGCAGACTGTAAACTTCCGGCAGAGAAAGGAATCTCTTGTTCATGACTTGGTTCTGCTCTGTGAGGTAAGTGTTCCAAATGTTGAAACTTAAGCATCATACTACTACCCCTTTGTTTTTTTCTTTCTTCCTTTTTTGAGTCCACAAGAGATTTAAGGCAGCTGCTAAGCCATGAAGGAATGTGGGCTATGTATTCCTCATCCGTTAAAAAGGATAAACTAGATCTTTATGTACAACATTGAGGAACACTATGTAATGTGCATACATGAAAATGTATGTTGTAGGGCAGTGGTTCTCAACTAGGACGGTTTTGCCTAGAAATGTCTGGAGATGTTTCTTGTGGTCAGACCTGTGGGAATGCTACTGTCTTGCAGTGGGTAGAGGCCAGAATGTTCCTTAACATCCAAGGACAGCCCTCCACACACAGAATTATCCGACTAAATGTCAGTCATGCCCAGTTGGGAGATCGTGATGTAGAGGAATTTTAGAAGGATACAGCTGATTTAGGAACAAAACAGGAGTCTGAAAGAGACGAACAAGGAATAGACTGTGGGAGGAGGGTAAAGAGTGCCTGAACCAAGACACTTGGCAGGAGAACATAGACTGGACACAGTTGCTCTAAGCAACCCTAAAATGTGCTATAAATGGAGCAGAACCAAACTGTTCCATGTTCACTAAATATGTGATCTTCTCTTTCAGGAGAAGTGTGCAAGTGTCCATGACGCAGCCCTTTTAGACATCATTTGTGAGTGTCGGTGCTTTGTATTTACACTTCCCAGTCCCGCTTTTTTTTTTTTTTTTAAGACTTTATTTATTTGAGAGAGTGAGCGAGCGAGAGAGCACGAGCAGGGGGAGGAACAGAGGAAGGAGCAGAGGGAGAGGGAGAAGCAGACTCCCCACTGAGCAGGGAGCCTGACGTGGGACTCGATCCCAGGACCCTGGGATCATGAGCTGAACCGAAGGCAGACGCTTAACCAACTGAGCCACCCAGGCACCGCTACAGACCTCAGTCCTGTTTCATCAGAGAGGCCATTTTGTATGTAAGGGCTCAGATTACTTCAGTCTGGCGGACCTAGTTTCAGTCCCTCCTCTGTCACTTACCAGTCCCGTGTCCTTGGCCGAGTCCCATCACCTTGCTAAGCCTAGATTCCTCCTAAGTAAAACAGAGAAACCAGTAGTACCTACTTCATAGGGTGGCTCGGAGGGTTAAATAAGATACTGCTTGGAAAGCTCTTAGCACGGTCACTGGCTACCAGAAGCACATAGTAGGTATTTGTTAGGCTTTGTTTTGTTAACAGAATTTGAAAATACATTTACAAGAACTTGTTCTTATTACACTGTAGCTTGTTATCTCCCCTCCCCTTCCCTTTCTTGGGGTTTTTCCCTTTGTGTCCTAGTTTTCTTCTCTGCATTTTTTTTTTTTTAAGACATCTCTTCTCCTCGTCAGGAGGCAACAGAGTCTAGGGTCTAAGAACACAGGCCCCAAGGCTAGATTTCTTAGGTACAGTTCATGGCTCTATCATTGTCTCCCTGTGAGTCCTGGGGGGAGGCCATTGACCTCTCTGTGCCTCAGTATTATCATTTGACAAACCCGTATCATAATGATGATATCGCATAAGGTTATTATGAGGATGAAATAAGAGTCCTTGTCAAGTTCTTAGAACAAAGCCTGGTATTTACTCATTAATTATTATCAATTTATATTAACTGCTTTCTATGACCTGGTGCGTAACAAAAATCAGCTTTATATCCTACTCCAACTACGAAATAGCTGAATTCATTTACGCATCTGCCTCTGGTTAAGTCTGTCTAATTTTCGGTGACTGGATTATATCTAGACCATAAAAGGTGGATCCACGTAATTCCCATTTCTCACACGTTTGTTCAAATGTTCATTGAGTACCACTATGTGGCAGCCTGTATGCTAGGTGCTGGTGGCTCAAACAGGTTGATTCATTCTCTCTTAAGAGGTCACAGGAGGAGACAGGTTACTTAATCACACAAATGCCTTCTTGTGGACTGTAGCAGGTGCCATGAAGGAGAACGTAGAAGGGCTCTGTGAGAGCAGAGTGGGATCTGCCACACTGAGGGTTTAAGGAAGACTTCCTTGAGACGTGAACTGAGAGCCAAAGGATGAATGACATTAACTAGGCATAGGGGAGAAGGGAGGTTAAGGAGCGGGAGGGCAAAGGGCACAGCGCTGGGAGTTTTGGAACAGGAGGGTTAAGTAGCGGAGCAGAGAGAAGGCGGGAAATGGGAGCTCAGTGATGCAGGGGAGGGGTCAAACCAGATGAGACATAGGTAGGCAGATGATACAGACCCTTAGAGTCCACTCGAAGGATTTCAGTCTTTATTCTAAGAATAATGCAAAGCCTTCTGAAGATTATGAGCAAGAAAGACTCAGGTTCTTGTTTTTTCAAAGCTCACAGTGCAGAGACAGAGAGCAGGGAGGATGGGAGAGACCTAAAGGAGCCTGTTGGAGCATCCAAGCCAGAGAGGAATGTAGCCTGGATGAGATGGTAGTGGGAGGGGATGGAGACAAGTGAGTGAGGCCAGGAAATACAAGGATTAAAGTGGACCTGACTTGCTCCTGGCTTGGTCATGGTGGAGTGAGTGGGAGGAACACACATGGCTTCAGGGTGGTGGTAAGTGCTACAAAGGAAAGCAAAGCAGGGCGGAGGGCAGGTCGGTTTGGGCAGGGGATCGGAATAGGCCACTCTGCATAGGTGGCCTCTCAGTAGAGACCAGAATGAGGTGCACCACCAGCTAGAAGAGGGCTCCCGACAAGGGGAACAGCCAGTGCCAAGGCCAGTCATGGGGAGCACGGCATCCCTGTCTGCTGGGCGGGTGCCACTTTCTGTGGAGTAGACTCACATGGAAAGAGAAGAAGTGATCAAAGTACGAGTAAATGCCAAATCTCTACTATATCACTAATTCTTCATGATTTAGTTGTCTGGAGAAAATTTAATCCATATAAAAGTTACATTTTGAATAAAAGTGTGTATGACCTAATTTGTAAATTACCGTTATTTTTTCTGGTATCATATTGCATTAAAGACATTTAAAATATGTATTTGTAAGCACATTACTTGGGAGTTCTTGGATATAATAGTAATAAGCTCTTCCTCCCTCTCTCAGATACTCAATTTCATAGGCACCAGAAAGTTTGGGATGTATTTCAGATGAGTAAAGAACCAGGTAATGTTTTCCATTTTTTAAAAAAATTTTTTAGTAATCTCTATACCCACCATGGAGCTCAAACTCACAACCCCGAGATGAAGAGTCCCATGCTTTTCCCATTGAGCCAGCCAGGCACCCCAGTGTTCTCCATTTTAAATTGAACATTTATATTTGATATTTTAAAAATTTTGAAATGAATAGCAATATGTTCCTCTTAAATGTCTCTTCTTTCAAATGAGTAATTTCAAAATTACTCTTTTGTGGGGAAAAAAGAGAAATATATTTGGTGCTGCTCTGTATCTCAGGTTCCGACTGGTATGATTTGATCGTTGTAGCTCTTTGAAATTACACAAAATGCTTACCTTCAGAGTCTTCGCAGATGTATTTCTTGAACATTATACTCCCTTGATTTGCCCTTATTTTCTTTTCACTTTGACAGGTGAAGACATTGATCTTTTTGATATGGAACAATTCAAAAGTTCATTTGTGAAAATTCTTCGGAGAGCATTAAAAAATGTAAGAACAAAACTTATCTGAATTTCCATGAAATTCAATTTCAAGGCATCTGTGCAGGGTTTTTTTATTTGTATGAATTTTAATTAGTAATATTCCATACTATTCTAGGCCAGATCAAAGTCAAATCCTACTTAATTATGGAAACTTTACTCTCCCCTCACCTGTCAATTCAGAGCCAAATGCTTCTTTCTCAAGAGGAGTGCCAGGCAGTAGAACTCTCTGCAGTGATGGAAATGTTCTAGATCCACGCTGTCCTGGTACACTAGCTAGTAACTGCACGTGGCTACAGAGCACTTGAAATGTGCCCAGTGTGGCCAAGGAACTAGAATGTTAATCTTCTGTAACTGTAGTGAATTTTAGTGCAGTAGCCCCGGTGGCAGGTGGCTCCAGGATTGGTCAGCGCTGTTCTAGAGCATCCCTAGAGTCTTTAGCTGCCATTCCGCTTTGACAAGTGCCACCGAGTATCTTTTTTGTTTTCCTTTTGAGAGAGACAGAGCGAGGGGAGGGGCAGAGGGAGAGAGGGAATCTTAAGCAACCTCCACACCCAGCACAGAGCCCGATGCAGGGCTCGATCTCACAACCTGAGACATGACGTGAGCTGAGATCAAGAGTCAGCCACTTAATGGACTGAGCCACCCAGGCACCCCACCACCAAATATCTTATCGTAGGTTCAGACATTCATTTTTTTAGCAGCCTCCCTTACTTCATTCTCTTCCCACCCTGGTCTGCCTTAGTCCTCCTTGCACAGCAAGACATTCCCAAAATCCTGTCACAGTCACCGTTCTCTGGCTGTCCTCTCCAGAATGACTAGTGTTTCCTCTCCTCACACAAATTCCCTCACCTGGTCTTTCCGTCTCCTCAGCTCACCCCCTGTGACTTCTGCCATACTTCTACCGGAGTGTATTCTCTCCTCTCCTTTCTCACAGTGCCCCTTCTCTGTGAGGTTGGAATCCATTCCCTGCATCCTCGTAAGGCCCCCACTTTGCTGTTCTCCGTTCTATTTCACACTCGTAGTCTCTTCTCTACTGCGTATAAACATGCTCAGGTCTCAGTGGAAGGACATCCACTCCCCATGCTCATCCTCAAGCTCTATCCTTTCTACCACAACAATCTTGGAGGGAAATATTCTTTTCTTGCTCCTGATATGTCCATTAGCACAATGGTGCTGGCCCCCCTTCACCATCCCCTTCGCCTTTCTCTGGCAGGAGCACTGACTTAGCCTGAATAAGAGCAGCGCTGCGCACAGGGCACCTATCCTGCTCTGTTCCTCCAGGGCCAGCTCTGCCCACACAGGGGAGGCTACCCAGAGTCATTCTGCCTGTGACCATGTGGGCAACTCTGCCTGACTCTGGATTTTTTATCTGGAGGGCCACTTGCCTGCAGATAAGAGCCAGTCATCAGTTTCTTAGTAATATGTGTTGGCCTCTGCCTACCACCTCTTTTTCCCTTATTTCTCAGCTGGTCCAGAAGGACAGGAAGGAGGGGTGGTATTTATTGGCCCCCTCAAAAAGCTTTTGAAAAAGACCCTTTGAAAGGGTAATCCATCCTTGCCAGCTTCATGCTTAAGCCTCTTGCATTCAGGCTACTGCTCTCACCTCCATATTGAAACTGAGTTTTGAAAAGCAGTGGTTCTCCTGTGATCCCCAGACCAGCAGCTCCAACATCAGCTGGGAACATATTAGACAAGCAAATACTTGGGCTCCCTCAGATACAGTAGGGGTAGGCCACAATCCTCCAGGTGTTGCTAATGCCCAGTCAAGTGTGAGAACCGCCCTGTTCAGGGGCACCAGTAATACCACAAAATCCCACGGCTGGTTCTCTGTCACCAGTAATGCCGATTACAAACACCTGTGTGTGCCAGGCCCTGGGCTAAGCCCTTGCCAGTCACTAACTCACTGTACCCTCCTGGTGATGCAAGGTGGGTCCCACAGTGGTGAACGTCAGAGCCAGGGTCAAAACCCAGGCAGGTGGCTTTGAGCTCGTGCTCTTCACATCCACACAGGCCCTCACGGCTCAGCCTCTGCCATGTGTGAGACGCACAACGTCCATTTCTCGTGCTCAGGAAGGTCATGCTGTCAGAGAATTGGCAGTCTCACCCTCTTGATCCTGAATCTCTGTCTTCCCCTGGTTGTCTTCTGCCCATCCTAAACTGGTCTTCATCGTCTCCCTGGCTAACTCCTTTCCTTTCCTTCTGCCCTTCACTGGAGCGTCCCCCAAAGTTCTGCACTCAGCCCTCCCCCCCAGTGAGTTTTGGCTATGGGAACTTACTTTAGCGGGACAGAGGAGGGAGGCAGAGACAGAGTCGTTCACCACTTCCCTTTCGGAAGCGAATGAGTCGTCCCAACACCATTTGTTGACTAATTTAGCTTTTTCTACTGGTTTATCATCCTTGGATTCTTCAGATTCATTCATGTTTTTAGAGTCTGTGTTTTACTCTTGAGCTGTTTCTCTTCGTGCACTCCTGGATCCACTGCCTGCCTCTCGGGCGTTAACTACCTGTACTCCACACTCCAGCCAAACTGAGCCATTCTTTGAGTTCTTGAACTTGCCATAGGCTGTTCCCTCTCCCTGGAACATCCTCCACCACCTGGCCTTTGCACAGCTCATTCCTCCCTGTCCTTCTGCCTCCACTTATGAAGTGCTCCCTCCAGGAGTCTCCCTGACCAACCCCCCCATTGCAGTTCCCCAGTCACCATACTCCTCCCACTTCCTGCTTTAATTGTCAGTCTTCCTCCCGACCCGTAGTCTCCCTGAGAAGAAACCCACCATCCTGCTCCCCTCTGACATGAGCAAGGGCTGAACAGATGCTGGGGATGAATGGATTGGGCACATTCTTTGCAAACTCCTCATTCCTTTAATTGCTGTAGTTTGTAAAATATTTTATTAACCATTAAGGCAAGGTAAACCTGTCCCTACCCCCAGTTACTCTTCTTTACCCCAGTTACTATTCTTCCTGATGAATCTTAGAATCATTTTATCAGGTTTACAAAACAAAAGGAAATCTTCATCATTTTAAGTGGGGGTCCACTTTAATCTATAAATCAGTTCAAGGGTAATTGTGAGCCAAGAGAAGGTATATCTCTCCTTTTTGGGTTGTTTGGGTTTTTTTTCTTTTTTGTGAATAAGCACTCTTTGGTCCTCTGTTCCTAAGTTATTATCTTTTATTATATTATTTGAAAAATATTCTTACCGTGAAATTATACACTTTTTAGAGATTAAAGGAGAGTCCCATCTGAACTGTGGGTATGGCATGTGCACCTGCTTTTCTTTAAACAAAGAGCCTCACTGGCACAGAATCCTGAGCCACCTATCCATAAATGGGGATATATGGTGTGGACCCTTCTGGAAGCAGCTTTCTTATGAAGCCGAACGTGACTGTCTAACTCCTCTTGAGAAACGCTCACAACCAGGTTCCCGCCCTGTTCACCCCACACCAGACGCCGAGGGAGAGCCGTTCTCAGCTGCACTTCAGAGCTTGTCTGCGTCTTTCCCCTTCAGTGCCCTCTTCCCCTGTGACAAGTCTCTCTTGCCCTTCTCTCCTCCGGAAATTTCTGTTGTCTGAACTCCACGCCGCCTGCCCCAACTGTTCTAGGAGAAGAGTGAGATGCTCCCATAGCCTCCTACATCAGTGGCCTCGTATTTCTGTTGTGAGATTTCCTCTTTTATCACCGCTGTGTTCCAGAAGCTTTTGCCTCCTGAATGAATTTCAGGCAGGCTAGTGGGAAAAGCTGGGAGAACAGAGGAGCTTTTTTCATCAGTCACATCTTCCTGCTTGAAAGGCTGGCAGATGCCCACCACCCTGTGTCTTCTCTGTTTCCCCTGCTCTGAGCTGGCCCACATGTGCTAACCCCATTTCTCAATTGACCAAGGACTCCCAGCTCGACTTCACTTTCCTCATAACTAGCAGCTGGATAACCCCACTTTACCAAAGGCTGATGATGCTGCCATGTAGAGTCTCCTGGACTGAAAAGTGACTTGCCTGCTGCTATAGGACAGGTCTTAACCTTTCTGTGCCAAGGACCCCTTTTGCTGTTAGTGAAACTTACGGGCCACTTCTTAGAAGATTATTTTTAAATGCTATAATAAAATGCATAGAATTATAAGGAAAACCAACTATGTTAAAATACCATTATTAAGGTATTAAAATACTAAGTTGTGCTATATCATGTGCTTCTTTAGTAACACAGTAAATAATCTCACAGTAGGTCTAAAAACAACTAGTTTCAAAGTAGTGATGGGCGTAAATGATATTTTTGAGGCAGGTGCAACACTTGTAATGTGTTAAGAAAATATTTGGGATTTCTACACAACAAAGTAACAGGTGCTCAATTTCAGTTAGTTCGTAGACACCTGAGTTCTAACCAGGGGCTTCAGGTTAAGAACTTCCTGCCCCTGAACCAACTGGGTAGAGAAGCTGGTATGAGAGGGAGCTGAGAGCCTAACTGCGGAGTGATGGGAGGAGCCTGTGCTACAGGGGATCCGATCCAGAGCCTTTGAGAGTGTGTGTGTGTCTCTGTATGCAAGAAAGAGAAAGAAAGAGAGAGATTAACTGTATATCTTACCAGGTAAAACTATTCAAAATAAAATGTTCTTGGAAAACTTAAAGAGCAGAGAAAGAAAAGACAAACTAAAAAAATATGTTTCAGTTGTAAAAAGGTAGTACATTTACTCTCCTTTTTATACCCATGTATCATGTAGTATAATAATGATAGTCTGTACTCAATATACGAATATAGTTAAACATGTAGCAATTCTGTGTGTTGTAAGCTTCATTTGATTCCCATGCTAAACTTGTTTGTGATTTGTTCAGTAGCTTGTGGGTTGTGGCCAGTTATAACCAGTTTATGGCCAGAGTACCCTGGCTAGCAGGATAGTCCCGGGTTAGCCAAACCACTTAGGACCCTTGGCTGGATCAGTGTCCCAGTTAAGCTTGAACAGTATTTGAGCTATCCTCAATGAAAAATGCTTTCTCCTGGCTACTGAAGGATGATGTCTATTAAGGTAGTTTCTTGGGAAAATAGTACAGGTCTGCATTTGGGCCCTACCTCTTCAGGTATCTGAATATCATCTTTCCTGGAAGAAAGTGAGACAGAACATCTGAAAGCCACCTAGGCCGAGATGATACTGACTCTGTGAATATCCTTTTCTCTTAGTCCGTTGATTTTTCTTTAACCTTTTTTGGATCATAGACCCTTACGAAAATGTTGATAAGTGACACAGCACCTCTCTCGGGAACGGGTACACTTACACATGTGTGCCCAACTCTGCACCCAATATAGGGAGGACACAGAGCTCTTTAAGCTTCTCCATGAGGCTTTACTTCAGTTATCCTCATTCTGGGCTAGAGAGATTACCTGAATATGTTGACTGCAACCAATTTTCTCCCTCTGGTAAAAATGTGCCCTCCATCTACTGCATTCAATCTTGATTTTACAGGCTTTGCTTTTGTAATGTGACACAAAGAGGCTATTCAGAATCAGACCCTGCCCTCTTCCATTCAAGCCAGCAAAGGTCCACTGAGCGCCTGTTGGGGCCAAATGCTGTGCTGCTCCCTTGGGAAGGTCAGACAGCTCCGCGCACTCCACACGCTCCACACAGTCTGCACCCCAGACTGGGGAGGGTTCCTTGTCTCATACACCAAGGGCATATGGGAAAGCAGCCAGATAAAGAGTGGGCAGAGTCGGAATAATGGTCTTCTTTGCTAATGCCAGCAGCCACATTGCAGCCTGTTTTTTCTGGAGTAGGATACAAGGGGGAGGAAGCGCAGAGATGTGGGCAAGCCAAGTGCACCTGTCTTGGATGCCTTCTGTCCGGGATCTGACCTCCCGGGGGAAGCTGAATCAAGGAAGAGCTAAGAATCTTGGAACAGGGGCGCCTGGGAGGCTCAGTCGTTAAGCTTCTGCCTTCGGCTCACGTCATGATCCCAGGGTCCTGGGATCGAGCCCCATGTCGGGATCCCTGCTCAGTGGGAAGCCTGCTTCTCCCTCTCCCACTCCCCCTGCTTGTGTTCCCTCTCTTGCTGTGTCTCTCTCTGTCAAATAAATAAAATAAAATCTTAAAAAAAAAAATCTAGGAACAGCCTATTAAATTCCACGCCAACTGGCAATTACATTTAGAAGTTGAGAAAGATCTGTGTTTTATCCATGAAATGGAAATGAAATAGAATTTTCTATATTCTTGCCACATAATTTTACTTTAGAGTAATTGTTAGCCTCTGAGCTAAATGCATATGAGCATTAGGATTAATATATTTGAATCCATTACTACATAGAAATTTTACTATTAAACTTTATAGTGCATACTAGGTCTGTGCTCGATGCTGAAAATGCCTCATTATTTAACAGGTATGTCATTTGTTAGGCTGCCTTATTTTATAAATTCTTGCATGTCAGGGAATAGTTTTTTAGAGACAAGCCCAAGAAATTGTTGAAAAATTGTGGTACCTTGCTTGTAGGATTTAAAATCTGTTTTCCTTCCAAAAGAATTTGCAAGGCATAAATGTATCTTTCCAAAGCAACCACAAAATCTTTTCCCCAAGATCCCCCAAACACTGTAATGAAAAGTAGAAAAGACTGCTGGATCTCAGCCCGTGTGCAAGGTTAGTGACATCTTTCACCCTTAAAGAGCACTTGCTGGTGCCACAGATTTGTTTTTAATGTGACTTTTTTTTTTTTTTTTTTTTTTAAGTACTCTCCACCCGCAATGTGGAGCTCGAACTCCCAACCCTAAGATCAAGAGTAACGCGCTCTATAGACTGGGCCAGCCGGGTGCCCTAGTGCCACAGATTTTAATTAGGAAACTTAACTCTTTTTTTTCTTTTTTTAAGGTGACGGTCAGCTTCAGAGATGCTGAGGAGAATTCAGTATGGATTCGAATTGCCTGGGGAACACAGTATAGAAAGCCAAACCAGTACAAACCTGTTTATGTGGTGTATTACTCCCAGACTCCCTACGTCTTCACTTCCTCCTGCCAGCTGAAGAGCAATATACCCCTTCTGGGTCAGGTAGGGTACCAATTACTCTAAGCTATATTTTTATTACTCTTAATCTTAGAGGTCTGCATAGGGTTAAACTGCTCAATAAGCATTTTATATAAAATGCCACATGTATTCTTGATTTCCTAAAATAAGGAGCAGAAAGTGTTCTACAAGTGGAAGCATGGCACAAGCATTGGTTTGGAGCTCTCTGTTAATTGTCCTTTCATCTAGAAGCAATGTGTGCTTAATGCAAAAATTCAACCAATATTGTAGATATTATAAATATCGGGCGGTAAACACGGTAATCCTAATAGTCTTGCTAATTTTCACTTCCAGGCACTGACAGTTGCTACCAATCACCATAAGATTGTGAAAATGGACCTCAGAAGCCGGTATCTGGACTCTCTGAAGGCTATTGTTTTTAAACAGTATAATCGGGTGAGCCCATCATTGACTCTCTTTCAAGTTACAGCTCCGTTTTCTCCTTCACACTTGACTTAGTAGTGTCTGAGCAGGTGGGAAAGTCCACCTCGGACAGAAGGAGATCATTTCAGATATTACTGAAGTGGAGAAAGCTTTCAGTTAGTTAACATGAAAGGAAACCGCAGTGCCTCAGTATCCTCTTGTTACAATTGCAATTTGTTTTATACTGTTCAGTAGTCATTAGAGTTTATGTTACAGATCCCAGTTTCCAAATCAGCTATTCCAATTAGAATTTATTTTAGCTCTAGAGTAACTTGTCACTGTCTTTGGAAGCTAATTATTCTATTATGCAAGAGAGAAGTAGAATTCATTTTTGTCCCATTAGTCAAGCAGGTGATACGGGAGTTAGAAGGAAAGGAGAAAGCGTTGTTTTATTATTAAGTCCCACAATTTATTTGTTAAAATTATTTGAATGCGTTGTTTCCTTTAATGATAAGAAGGGATCTGGCCTTACTCACAGACTCAGGATTATTTTTTCCTCTGCATGGCAACAGTGTGCCCATATGTTCAGACTCCTGAGGTGGACTGTTAATGCTCTGTGCATATCTTCGAGCCCTTAGATACATTATACTTACATATTTTCATCTGTTCTAAGTAGAAAGAAGTGATGGCTCCCTACAAGTCACTCTTTAAGGAAAAAAATCTAACGTTGTTCGTTAGATTAGTTAGTTAGAGGCCGTCTTATCCACCACCTTCCACCTGTCCTGCTACGACAACTGCATCCCTAGGATAGTCACACTGTCAAACACTTAATTATAAAAACATCGGCTGCAAAGGGAAAAAGGATTGATTGAGAGACTCACTTCAGTAGGAAAGTGATTTTTCCAAAAGGAGCGTCAGCGAGTATTTTACAGTGAAGACATAGCTCTAAAGCTGAAGTATCACGTTGCAAGACCCTGCCTGGGGATTCCTCTAGCTTTTGCACTCACCAGCTGTGCTTCATCCAGATCCATTTTTATGCTAACAAAGTACAGAGCTCCTCATTCAAAACAGACATGTTGCTGGCCCAGCAGTCTCTGCCAGTCTCCTGCTCTGGGGGAAATGCTTAACTCAGCCTGGATGTGGCCTCAAATCTCTTTTTGTTGAAAAAAATAAATAAATAAAGATGTGATACACTGTTATGTACTAAAACCATTTACTATTTATATTTCAAGATGTTACAATTAGGAGAAGATTCACTTTTTTTCTTTCTTTCCTTTTTTTTTTAAAGAACTTTGAAACCCACAACACCACTGTACCTCTGCAGGAAAGAACCCTGGAGCTGGATATACACAGTATGTGTGTTTTAAAATAAAACCAAAATTTGGAAGCACATCATTCCTTTTTAGATTTCTGTCACTCAGTAAAACATTTAATCACTAGGAGCCAGATTCAGAACTATCTACTGCTTTCAGAAAAATTGAAAATTAACTTTCTCTTGAAAAGAGAAACTAAGGGGCACCTGGGTGGCTCAGACAGTTAAGCATCTGCCTTCGGCTGAGGTCATGATCTCAGGGTCCTGGGATCGAGCCCCACATCGGGCTCCCTGCTCGGCGTGGAGCCTGCTTCTCCCTCTTCCTCTGCCTGCTCCCACTCATGCTCGCTCTCTCACTGTCTCTCTCTCAAATAAAATCTTTAAAAAAAAAAAATTTTTTTAAGGGAAACTGAGCTACCATAGGTTCCTTTTATAATTTGCTAGAACATCAAGTAATTACACTTAAAAACAAAAATTAACTAATAGTCAAGCATTTCTGTGTGCCAAGCACCACACTCAGTTGCTTATAGATGTCACTTCCTTCATCTTCATAGTAGTCCCCTGAACAATCCCTATTCATCAAGCAGCTGGGTTTCAGAAGGGTTTAGTAACTCGCTAAGCAAAGTTACACAGCGAGGAATCGCCAAAGCCAGGCATGAAATCCAAATCTGTCCAGTCTGGAGCCCTGGCTCCGAGTGCGTGCTGGATAAACTGCTTCTTGAGTAATCAGAGTTGTGAGTATGTTGCTACTCGCAGATAGCAGGAGTCTCTCCGTGGAAACCCAGGAGAGTAAGAAACTACTATAGTGGACCAGAAAGTTGAGAAGAGTGGTGGGGTACAATCTAGATTTCTAGAAATGAACAGTTTCCTATCTCTCGGCAGTGATTTGGCAATCCAATGAAATGGTACAGCAATTATGAACAAACATTTTTATGACTTTCCAATGGCATAAGAACTGCCATTGATTTCACATTAAGTAAAGAAAGCAGAATACAAAATTGTGTGTATTTTATAATTCCAGTTTAAAAAACACAGATCTTTCTATTAATTAAGAAAAAGGCAAGACAGGGGCGCCTGGTTGGCTCAGGTCATGATCCCAGGGTCCTGGGATCTAGCCCCGCATGGGGCTCCCTGCTCAGCAGGAAGCCTGCTTCTCTCCCTCCCACTTCCCCTGCTTGTGTTCCCTCTCTCATTGTGTCTCTCTCTGTCAAATAAATAGATTAAAAAAAAAAGAAAAGAAATATATTAAAATGTTAACAGTGCTTTCTCTGCCTTGGTAGAATTATGGGGGATTTTTATTTTATTTACCAGCCTGCATTTTGCAACTTTCCTATAACAAGGAATAATTGCAATCAAGAGAAGAAACAGTAAACATAATTTTTAAATGACGCAAGCAAGTTGAAAGGTTAAGAATGAAAGGAAGATACTTTATGGATGAAGTATATTTGTAATATCTGTTTTCTTTTGAAATCTTCCATATATAGTGGATTCGCGGATCATTCATGAAAACAGAATAGAAAAAGAAAGAGTCCAGAGAGTGACTCAAGAAACTTTTGGAGACTATCCTCAACCAAGACTAGAATTCGCACAATATAAGGTGGGACATTGCTATAAACATGAATTACAAGGTATCCATACGTTTTTAAAAGAACAGAAACTTTAGGGGCGCCTGGGTGGCTCAGTCGTTGGGCATCTGCCTTTGGCTCAGGTCATGATCCCGGGGTCCTGGGATCGAGCCCCACATTGGGCTCCCTGCTCAGCGGGAAGCCTGCTTCTCCCTCTCCCACTCCCCCTGCTTGTGTTCCCTCTCTCGCTGTATCTCTCTCTGTCAAATAAATAAATTTTAAAAAATAATAAATAAATAAAAGAACAGAAACTTTAAGTGGAAAACAGTTATAAGAAACTTTCTTTTCCTTTATCACTTTTTTCTTTTTTTAATTCCTTTTCTAATTATTGAATAGAGTTGACACACGATGTTAACAGCAGTTTTGGACGTACAGCAATTCTGTACATGACTCAGTGCTCACCACCATAAGCATAGTCAGTATCACTTTAATTTTGTATGATGAATTTATGAGTTAGAATAGACTTCTTTATCATATTTATTAAGTGCCTCTGTTAGCAAAGGAGACTTTTAGAAATTATGACTTTGCCTTTTTATTTCCTCTTACATATTAATTTAGTTATGCAGAACTGGCCTCAATCTGTATTTTTGAGGGGAGAAAATTGTAAGCTATACCTTTCTAGCCCATCCACACCTAGAGCAACACTTACATGTAGTCCGTGGTCATAAATACCCGTTGAGTAAGAGAGTAAATGAATAAGTAAGTCATGACATAGCCCAGTTGGCAGCACAGGAGGAAAACTAGTAGCCTTGTTAATACTGCAAACCTAGCTCATTCCAGAAGCATGCCACTGCCCATCAGGAAGGCCAGCTTGGGGGCAAGCCCCCTGCCCCCATTAGAAGAATTCAAGGTTATGATTGCCCTAATCTAATACTTGCGCTCATACTCCTAACACCCTCCTCCCCTCTATTAAAATCCTTTCTGCTTAGCAGCCCCTGCAGCCACGGGCAATGCTTTAAATCCGCCATTGATCTGATCACTCAGGCCCAACACCTGTTTTCTTTGATTTGTTTTTTTAGTGGGAAAAGCTGATTAATATCTTTCACTTTGGGCTCCCTACATGGCAGTTTTAACCCAGTTCCTTTGAACAGCCCATACTCTAAGACACTGGTTCCCGAATGTGGTCTCTGGACCCACCATATCAGCATCAATTGAGAATGGAATGCCCCCACTGTGGTCCTACTGGATCAGGGACTCTAGAGGTGGGGCCCAACCATCTGTTCTTACAAGCCTTCTGCTGATTCTGCCCACTAAAGAGAACCACTGATCGGGAATAAGTAAGACTCCACAAATCTCCCTGTATATACAGTTTAGAATATGTCTAAGTCAAGGTACACATTGCTTCATACCTTCTATTAATTTTCCCTACCTTTTCTATTTTGAAAAATGTCAAACCTTCAGAACACTTGCAAGGATATTACAATGAACACCCATTTCCCCTTTGCTTCAGTTCACCAATTGTTAACATATTGCCACATTTACTTTCTTTTTGTTGATTTATTCTGAACCATTTGAGGCAGTCGCAGACATTACTCACCCTCTAAATATTTCAGCATACTGTCTCTTAATTTTAAGAGTCACTTTAAGTTAAAAAAAAATTGAAATTAGAATCTAAGACTCAGGTACCTATTGAAGCAGCAGTACTTGGATATTTGATGATATTAAAGGATTGGTAGATTGTTACTAATTTTTTTAGGTGTGGTAAGGTTATGGGGGTGAAGTTTTTAAAAAAGAGTCCTTCTTAGGTCGTTTTTAGATACATATTGAAATATGCACAGTTGGAATAGTATGGTGTCTTGGATTTACTTCAGAATAATGCAGTGACAGTGGTCAGCAAGGAACAGGGAGGTGGGGTCATTGAAACAAGACTAACCATGAATTGATAATGGTTTCAGCTGGGGGATGTGCACACGGGCACTCATTACACTGTGCTCCTTACTTCTGTGTATTTTTGAAATCTTCCATAATAAAGTAAAAAGAAATCGTGATAGTGACTTAAAAGACATGATATTTTTACATCAAAAGGACCAATTACAACAGAGAGTGCTAATTTGCCATTAAGAATGCGATGTGATGAGCACTGGGTGTTATGCGCAACTGATAAATTGTTGAACAGTACGTCTGAAACTAAGTATGTACTATATTTGGCTAATTTAATTTAATTTAAGAAAGGAATGCAAACCGGGGCGGGGGGGCCTGGGTGGCTCAGTCGGTTAGGCATCTGTCTTTGGCTCAGGGTCCTGTGATAAGCCCCACGTGCACCTGGCGCGCGTCAGGCTCCCTGCTCAGCGGGAAGTCTGCTTCTCCCTCGCCCTTTACCGCTCCCCCCATTCATGTTTGCGCACTCTCTCTCAAATAAATGAATAAAATCTTTTTTTTTTTTTTTAAGGGAATGCAAACTAAATGCCCAGGTAAAGGTCACCAGAAGGTTGAACTCACCTCCCAGGTCCCTGTGTGTCAGACACCAAGGTGTTTTGTGTGTGATATCATTTGACACACTGGTTGCCCTCTACATTTGCAGTTAGCAAATTAAATGTCTCACACCCCCCTTAATCCCTGTATTTCTTGATGACAAGAATTAATGAAATACAAACCTGATCTCATTATAGTTTACCATTCCAGCTGATTTATTTAGTAATTTGTAAATGTATTTGTTGACAGCTTGAAACGAAATTCAAAAGTGACTTCAATGGAGACATCTTGGCGGAGAGAAAAGAGCCCCTCCGGTGCCTAATAAAGTTCTCCAGCCCGCATCTCCTGGAAGCATTGAAAGCCTTAGCACCAGCTGGTAAGTAGTCAGCTTATCTTACAGCGGGAAGAATTAACAACACACTACATTCAGGTAGTATGTATCCTCTCTTTTTACTGGCTAATCACCTCTGAGCTTTCTCCTGGCTCGGGTCCGCTCTCCCCTCATGCCCTATTTTGCATGTTCTGCTTCTGCACCTCATGGGGATCCATGATCCACCTCGAATCTCAGCCATTGTTAAACTGACTCCTTTTCTTTTCTCTTCTTTTAATTTCAGGTATTGCAGATGCACCACTTTCTCCATTGCTTACTTGCATACCCAATAAGGGAATGAATTATTTTAAAATTAGAGATAAATAAGATGTATGTGGTTTTGGAAGCACAGCATCTCTTTGACTATTGCCTATGCACTTCATTCAACAGCTAGCCAGATAGCTTCTGTTTATGAACTTGTGTTTTAGAAATTAATTCTTGATATTGACAGTTCAGAAACATTCAATATAATTGTTGGAACTGATTCTTTCCTCCTCCACTGTGTACCCTTCTCCCCCATATCCTGCAAAGCATAGCAATTGTGGGCTTTTAAAAAGTGACATGTCCTTTTTCTCACTCATTTCCTCCATCCTGGAGAGATCAGGTTCTAATTGCTTGTTTCCAAGGATTTTGTCTGAAGCCTTGGATCCTGGAAAGAAGCAGCGGGAAACTATCCTCAACTCAAAACTTTCTAGGAAAATCATAAAATTGGTCCATTCGAAGGGTAGAGTTGTGTCCATGATGTGACTGCGGGAGGTAGCATATCAGATGATTCAGTAATATAATAGTTTCGTTGTAAATATGATACTTTTCATAATCTGTTTTATCATACATGCAGACTCACCATACTATACTGATTTGTGAATAAAGATTGAAAAACTGGCATATCAATTACTTTTGATGGAAATTTTTCAGTGATCATCACTAAATAGCATGTACTTTCTTAATAACATTTCAAAATATAGTCCCTATTTTGTTCCACACAGGATTTGAGATATAAAAACGTATATTACAATGATGATGAAATGAAAAGGTGAGGCACTCTAGGCAAATAGGAAAGCAAACAAAAAGCAAGAAGGACAGAATAAAGCCAGAGATAAAATAGCCATGTAACAACATACAGGTGCCTCTAGCTGCTAGAAGGTTGAACAATTAGAATGAAGTCAGCCAGTGGTCAAAGCAGAGATGAAGACACCAATTTGTGAATGAAGATATTTAAAAACTGGTACATTGGTTACTTTTGATGAAAATCAAAAACAGGCTTAATATACAGATATGTAAATACCATCAGAGAAGCAGGGCTGAACAATGCTTTATAATGTAATGGTAATGTCTACAGATTACAGATAACGTGAAATATATGTTTTTAGATATAATTAGCAAATGGCATAGACACTTCCATTATCTCACAGTGAGGCCCTGAGTCTGCAGGGGCTCAATAATGCTAATTTCCTTGAAGACACAGACGTGGTATCGAGCATCTGTCCCTCTGTGCACGCATGTGGTAGGCACTTTTGCTCGGTGCCTGAATGCCTCTGTTAGGTCTGCACAGAGGCCCTGCAGGTCCCCAGATGGATTCTAACAGGCTCACAGCCCTCCTGGGTGCTTGGCAGTGATGTGCAATCGGAGCCTGAGCAAGGAAGACACTAATCATATTATCCAGCCTATAGTGGAATCACTTGAGGCTGTACCCTGCGGCCCTCCCAGACAGAGGCACCTACTTAAGGAAATGAGAGTACATGGAACTCTTTATCTCTTTTGTACTTGATGTTCAGTCGGCCCTCAGTTCTTCTTTAGGAGGAATTATTCTTTAAATAGGTATAATTTGGTGTATTCCATGGAGGAGGTGAGTTCAGTTTCTTCCTATGTCGCTGTCTTGCACTGGAACTTCTATTACGTACTTGATGATCCAGAGACATACTGCATTCAGATGCCGTCTTGGGAACAGATGGATCAATAAGTGCAGACCCAAGGACCTCTACAGCCAAAGGAATTTATTGTACATTAGGTAGGGTCTCCAAAAATGATTAGCTAACATTTATGGAGTACCTACTATGTCGGTGCTAAGTATTTTATGTGCATTATCGTATTTTCACAATCCTGTAACACAGGCAGCATTACTAGTCTATTTCTACTCCAGTGAATACCGAAGCTTAAGCTTACGCTAGTAGGTGGCTGAGCCCACATTGACCGCAGGCAGTCAGATTCCAGAGCCTGTAGTGCTAAAAGAAACAATAGCCTGTAGATGCTATCCCCCACACACATAGTAGTAGGGTTTGTTTGTTTGTCCCACAGTACTTTTAAAATCAGAATTAGCTTCTGTGATGGGCAGAGTAATGCCCCCTACTCAAAGATGTCCACATCCTAACCCCTGGAATCTGTAAATACATTACCTTACAAGGCAAAGGGACTTTGCAAAGGGGAGATTATTCTGGACTTCCTGAATGGAGCCACTGTAATCACAATGATCTTCAAAAGTGGAACAGGGGGAAAAAAAAGTGGAACATGAATAGGAGAGAGCGGAGGGAGAAGAAGTCTGTGATGGGATGAAGACTCAACTCACCATTACTGACTTTGAGGAACTGGGAAAGGCAAGTAAGCAAGATTCTTCTGTAGAGCCTCCAGAAGAAATGCAGCCCTGCCCACGCTTTTATCTTAGCCTAGTACTTGTGTCAGACCTCTGACACAATCTGTGTTGTTTTAAGCCAAGATTGTGGTAACTTGTAACTGCAGCAAAAGAAAACTAGTACAGCTGCTGATATATAAGTTGGAAGTTTTCACATAAAAACCTTGAAAAATAAATCTAACGATACCAAAGATGAGTAGCAGCTGCCCCCCTTTAAACAAAGGATAGATTTTCCATTTCACTACAATCCTCACTTCTCCCTTTTGTCTACACCTGGCCTCCTTTGCTCATTTACTTGGTCTAGCTAGTCCTTCTAACTACTTAGGTTTTGGAACGCTCCCCTGAGTCATACTGTCCCCTAAATAGTAATCGGATTTCAGCAGTTAAGAGACAGGCAAAAACAAAAAAGGCAAAACAAAAAAGATGCAGGCAAGTAAACCCAGCCTCCCTTAAAATGATTAACACAATCACAGCAACTTATTCGTTTGTACAATGCGACCTAGGGCTAGTTTTTTCTCTGCAAAATGAGGGAAAACTTATAGTACGTGCCCGCTACACTTGTTTTGAGGACAAAATGAGATAGGAAATGAAAAGTGCTTTCCCCAATGTCTAGCACTTGGTAGGCCCTCAATAAACAATAGATGTAATTAACATACTATTGCCTCTCCTGCTATTGAATATTTGGGTTGTTTCTAATCTTTGGGGAAATAAAGTTCCTGAACGTACTGCTTTTTGTTCTATCCAATTATTGCCCAAGGTTAAGGTTTGTGGGAAGCTGAAGAATGCATTAGTGGGACCAATACCTTCGACCTGTCCGCAAGAACCCCCGTTAAGTTTTGTAACCCTCCTGCCTCACCCGGCGGCGGCTTCCCGCGGACGCTCCTTCTACGGCCGGCAGGGGGCGCCGCGGCCGTCCCGGCCCCGCCGGATGCTAATGAGACTGGAGGCCCCGCCCCCTGCCGGAAGTGGCTGCGGCGGGAGGCGGGGCCTGCTCGCTCGGTCCTTCTGCCGTGCGGGAGCCATGGCGGCCTCTGAGGCGGCGGCGGCGGGGTCCGCGGCTCTGGCTTCGGGCGCCCCGACCGTCCCGACGGCCGCGAGGGGAGCCGTCGCCGCCGCCTCGGGCCCGTGGGGGCCCCCCGGACGGCTGAGGGGCAGCCGGCCGCGGCCCGCGGCGGCAAGGCAGCAGCCCGCGGGTCCGGCGCCTCCGGCCCGGGAGCTGATCCAGCCGTCGGTGAGCGAGCTGTCCCGGGCCGTGCGAACCAACATCCTGTGCACCGTGCGCGGCTGCGGCAAAATTCTGCCCAACAGCCCGGCGCTCAACATGCACCTGGTCAAGAGCCACCGCCTGCAGGTGAGCCCGCCGTGGAACGGCTCCTCCCCGGGCCTGGCGCTCGGGGGCTCGGGCGCGGGCTGGGGCATGCGGGGCGGCGCGGCCGGGATTGCGCCGTGTGTGTGCAGCCTCGCCGGCCGGCGTCCAACCACAAAACGGGCCAAACCGGCCGGGGAGTCCCGGCGGGGCAGAGTGGGAGCTAGCACGCAGGAACGCGCAGTAGGAAAACACTGTGTCATGCCACTCGGCTGTGGGGCTCGGACGAGCCAGGACTGCTGGCCTCTGGCTTCGCGGCCCGGGCATTCGACACATGGACCTTGGTAGTTCCAGCAACTTCGTGAGGTCCGTTTCATCCTCCTCCTCAACGCTACTGAAGAGAAGCCGATTGCGCAGCCGGACTAGAGCTGGGATTTAAACCTGGTCTCTGCTTCTAAAGCCCGAGTGCTTTCCACCACACCCACAATACCTCCTTGAGGCCTTTAGGTTCTGCCCGGTTTTTAAAAGGGAGCTGCAGATGTGCCTCGAAGCACCTTCGGTTACACGTTTTCACAGTATTGATAGACTCGGGTTTGCTCAGGAATGAGACGTAAGGGAAATTTCTCCTGCAGGTCTTCTTTTAAAAGGCAACCCGTATGTTAACATGACAATAGTGTGAACATCCCTTCCACCCTCTGTAAAATGGGGCAGTGATTTTTTTAACCTTTAGTGGACATCTGTGGAAAGCGCACTGAAAATCCGATGTCCGGCCCCACCTTAGACCTGTTAAGTTACAATTTCCCAGTCATTACGATAGGAAGTTTCCTTCCACCACTTCTTACTCCTCTCTCTGTCAACAGTGACATAATTCCAAAGCATGATGCTCAAAGCAGTTTTGTGAATGTAGCTTTTGATGGTCTGAATTGATTCAGGAATAAGTTTGAATTACCTAGCATGTTGCATGTTCTGTCTGCCCTTCAGGTAGATCCTCCTTGGAGACTTCCTTAGAATCAGGCTTCTGATAAGAATTTAATTTACCAGGAGGTTCGGGGGTATAGTAGGACAGACATGTTGCCCAGGAGAGGGAATCCCCTTCCCGCACCAGCTGAACAGATGCAACATCGTTCCTCTGTGAAGATTAGGGAGTCCAGTCAGGAAATGTGCTGAGGAGAACCCTCCAGGTGTGGCTGCAGTTTTTCCTCAGAACAGATTAGCTTTCTTCCAGGACCCAAGTGCGGTAACTCTTCAGTGGTCTTTGGGAATGAATGGTCTTCGATCTTGTGTTTTCTCTATCATACTAAATTTTAACGAAATCCTTCCTTTTCTTTATATTTTAATTTCAGTGGGTGAACTACGTGGTTTATAGGAATTCTACGCCCCTTGGTTCTCTCAACTTGTATACAACGGTCATCACCCACTTTTAGTATCATGTCCTCACTGAGAAACAGCCAGGACACTCTACATCTCTGAGCACAAGAGAAGCTGCCAGTCTGACCAGGACTGTATTGGCCCAAAGATCACTCTAACAAGCGCTTTTTAACAGTTTTATTGTCCTTTTCTCTGGAATTGCGATCTGGAGCGCTCTCGCTCTCAAGACTTTGTGAAGCATCTGTTAAGCACAGAGATACCATTTACTCTTCAGGACTAGTGTGATAGCATATAATAGGTTTATTTCTAATGATATTTTTAAAATACGTTAAGTTTACGAATATCTGAAGATACCCATACATATACAAAATATACAAACACATGCAGTATACAGTGCACATACAAAATATAAAATATGATAGGCTTAAGAAGGAGGAGTAGTTGAAGCAAATACAAATTTTGATAATCAGATCTTTACTGGACTTTTCAAAGCAGCAGTATCCTCCCTTGCTTAGAACCTGTGTGAAGTCATTCTCCCATTTCTAAGCTGGTTTTCAGATACTGATCTCTTGTCTGAAGACAGCACAGTACACTCAAGATCCCTTTCTGAACTAAAAGTGCTGAAGGGAAAAGTGGACTGTCCTGATTTTCCTTCATAGATCACTAGGGAGACCTGTGTCAGGAGGAATTAAAGAAATCTCACCCAGAACCATCATTGTTTTTGGGTTTTTTTCTTGTCAAAGAGGCTCACTTTCCTGCCTTGTTCTGGCTTTTTAACCACAGCCAGCACCCAGCCACCCCTGCGCATCTGCTGTATTAGAGGAAAGGGGTTCATTTTCTTTCATGACCATGACCTATGTGACAAAATAGCCGTACCAGTGTGGTGAATCTCTACTCTCCATCTGCATTCTGGGGAGAAGGCCCTTGAGTTCAAACATTACTCTTTACACTTGTTTTCAAAGTATTAGAAGGAGTGAGGGAGGAGGAGGAGGCCTGGGGACGAGAGCTGACTGGGAGCTCCTTGTGGTTTTGAAAGCTGTTTGGAGAGAATCCAGTATCAATCCAGTGCCTGCCTACTTTCTGCCCTGAAGGTGGTCTGAGTATAGCTGCTTGGCAGATTTGCATAATATTCAGTGGGAATTTTTCCTACTGGTTCTCTTGGTTACAGCTACTTGCAAATTTTTATAGTTTCTCTCCTAGTTTTTATTTTTTCTAGGTTATGATAATCTTTTATCCCCTTCCCCATTAGTTGCTATATGGTGCTTATTTTATTCTAGACTTTCTTCACAAGGTACCCTGCCCACAGACAAATACTCCCTTCTTAATGTAAATAATTAACAAACGCTTCTAAAGGATGGTGGGTAAGAATGGGGATTAAATTGTAAGGTGTAAGGACATGCAGCCATTTGGTTTTATACAGGTTCTTATATTTCATCTCCTGTTAGGAAATTGGAAATGCCCTGTCTAGCCTTGCCTACGGGGGGATCCCTGGGGAAATGAAAGCTAGGGATTTAAGAGAAGGGAAGAGTAAGAGTAAATGGACATTTCTCAGAGATTCTTTTATTCCTTGTTTGAAAGCAGTGAAGGGCACAGGAGGGCCCTTAAAGAACCTCTTAACCCAGCAGCATTTCTGTTTTTAAAACCTGGCTTAAAGGATTTTGTATTATGTTTTGTCCGGGGTTTGCTTTTAATGATTAGCAAGGAAGTTGTTTTGTTGTTGTTGTTGCTGTTTAAGCAAAAAAACAAAAAACAAAGGGATGCCTGGGTGGCTCAGATGGTTAAGCGTCTGCCTTCGGCTCAGGTCATGATCCCAGGGTCCTGGGATCAAGTCCCGCATCGAGCTCCTTGCTCAGCAGGGAGTCTGCTTCTCCCTCTTCTGCTCCTCTTGCTTGTGCTCTTTCTCGCTGTGTCAAATAAATAAATAAAATCTTTAGGAAAAAAAAAAAGGAAAAGAAAGGTTCCAAGTCATTCTATAGGCCATATTGTACAAAGACCTCCAATTTTAAATTTACAATAAGAAGACAACAGAGCGAACTGATTTTCTTCTTGGATGCTTTCTGTGAAGGCAGTCAGGTGCTGGTGTAGTTATGCCTTTTTTTCACCCCCACTATTCTTAAAATCCTTTCCTTTTACCCTTTCTCCTTAAAGTGTGTCCTTACTCCTGTTTTTCTCTTCTGTATACTTTTTTCCATCTTGTTTTTTCTATTGTTTCCTCTCACAGATTTTTTTTCCAAATTCTTTTACTTAAAATGTTTCATAAATATTTTTGAAATGTGTTTTACTTTAAAATGTTTTGTATGTAACAGGTACCCAAAAAAGGAATGCAAAACATGAAGTATTTTTTGTGTTATCTTTTTAGTCATGCATACAAAAGATAAAGTACAAAAAGTCTGGTGAATTTTGTTTTTGAGCAGATATGTAGGATGCCAGAATAGAACGTGACTTTCTCACTGTGGCTCATGTGGTATTGTGCCATCCCCATTTCTTATCTCCCCCACCCTCATCTCAGCCAAGTCCTATGTTTTGAGTTTGTTGTCTCAGGACAGGAAGGCCCTGGAACTGGGATGGGGAGATGGTGATGGGGAGGGTGAGGAGTTGGCCCTCAGAAAGCGGGAAAGTGAACACTCTCTGGTTGTTGCCATGCCTATAATAAAGGCCACAGGGGGATTGTTGATGTCCTTTACGGCTGTCTTTAGTGGTTCATCCTGGTGCATGATACAGTTTTGGCTTAAATGGCTACATGAACATGTTCAGTATAATGCTCCCAGGTTTTTTTTGAACATTTATTCTGTCCAGACATTCCCAAATGCAAGAGAAGATACAAATACATTCCTCTCCTTGAAAACGTTTGGGGGATTTTAAGTAGTTCCATTAGACAAAACAGGTAAGTAACAGAAGAGAAAAACAATTCAAAGCTATATATATATATATATATATAGTGAGGGACTTGAATGTCTCAAGCTAGAGAAATTTGGACTCGGGTAGATTTGGGGTGCCACTAAAAATGTTTGAGTGAGGTAGTGACATGATGAGAGCTATACTTTACAAAAAGGAATCTGGCAAAGTGAATGAAAAAGAGAATGAAGTTATAGAAATGAGTTGAGGTTAATGATAAAAGTCCAGAGTCAGGATGACTTGAACTAATGATGTAACAGTGAAAAAGGAAAGCTGAGGGAGGTGGTAGAAGACACATAAAGAGAAGTGAATAATTGCCAAAACTCGGAAGCTAGCAAGATGTTCACCAGTAGATGAATGGATAGATGAACTGTGGTACCTCCAGAGCATGGCATATTACTCAGCACTAAAAAGAAATGAGCTCTCAAGCCCTGAAATGACATGGAGGAAATTCAGGTCAGGTGTATACTCAATCAAAGAAGCCAATCTGAAAAGGGTACATACTGTATCATTCCAACTATATGACATTCTGGAAAAGGCAAAAAAGATTAGTGGTTGCCAGGGTGAGTTTAAGGGAAAGAATGTTAGGAATAGGTGTAGCACAGAGGATTTTTAGGGCAGTGAAAATACTGTGTGATAGTATAAAAGTGGATATGTGTCATTACACATTTGTCAAAAGCCATAGAATGTACAACAGCAACAATGAACTCTAATATAAGACTTTTGGTTATAATGATGTGCCAGTGTGGGTTCCTTGATTGTAACAAATGTACCACTCTGGTGGGGGATAATTGTTAATAGTGGAACAGGCTGTTCATGTTTGGGGAGGGAGAGATATGTGAGAACTCTCTGTGCTTTCTACTTAATTTTGCTGTGAACCTAAAACATCTCGAAAAAAAAAAAGTTCATTAACTTTTAAAAAGTGAAGTGAACAGGTATTTGAGAACATGATTGGGAGTTTAAAAAGGGATAATAGAAGGCATGCTAGGGCACCTGGGTGGCTCAGTTGGTTAAGTGTCTGCCTTTGGCTCAGGTCGTGATCCCGGGGTCCTGGGATCAAGTCCCACATCTGGCTCCCTGCTCCGCAGGGAGCTTGCTTCTCCCTCTGCCTCTCTTTCTCTCATGAATAAATAAAATCTTTAAAAATAAATAAAAATTAAAAATTAAAAAAATAAAAGGCATACTAAGCAGAGTTGAGAGGGTATTAGAAGTGAGCGTGAATTTTGTAGTGACCTTGTAGGAAGTTTGTGGAACATTTGAACAAAAGGGGCCATCTCCCTGGCATATCACTAAGAGGAATTTGATAATTATTCGGTGAATGAAGTGATTTCTGAGTCTTCCTTAATATTCTCCCCACATTTCGTTTTCTCTTGCTGATAACACTAGATGGAAAAATAATAAGTTAACTGAAAGTATTTCATTAAAAAACGAACGCTAGATGAATTGGTGAATAGGATGAGTTTGGTGATAAGAGACCACGTCACTTGTCATTAAAGCTAGCAGCTGCCAGTGTTTTAACAGAAGAGCCTTTCAGTCCCGACTTCCACAAGGACAGAATTTAATGTAAAGTACTGGTTTAGATTAGATCATTGGCATAAAGTTGGTTGGCAAAAAGCAAAAGAAGAAACAAAACTCTCCAAAGCAAATAAGTCAGCAATAATAACTGAGTGATTATGTGATAAGCACTGTTCCAAACTCTATACATTATTGACTAAATCCCCACAACAGCCCTGAAATAGATCCTGTTTTGCCTACTTTATAGATAAGGAAACCAAGATACTTCACAAGAAAGTGGCAAGGTAGAGAATCCAAACTATGCTAGTCCACATTCCAGAACCCAGGGGTTTAACCACTATACAAGAGGTTCCAAAGCTAGACTGTACTTTGGGATCATCTGGGGAGATTTAACAACCAAATATGGATCCCTAGTCCCCACCCCAAACTAATGATACCAAAATACCTGGAGTTGGAACCAGACAGAGATTTTTTTTTTAAGTGTCTCGTGATTTTTCACAGGCCCCAGGGTTGAAAACCACTACCCTATGCAGGACTGCCTTTCAAAAAAATGCTCTACATTTAGCAGGCAATTGCTCTCTTCTTTAAGCATTAAGATAATACCAAGAGGTGTACAAAATAGTTTCTGCCCTTAAGAAATTTAGCTGGAGAAACAGGAACTCTAGAAAAAAAGGATAATATTTAAAATAGCTTAAGTTTTATTATCTTGGAATTCAAACAGGAAATAGATCTCTACATCTGGATGGTGGTAAGCAGAACAAGGGAGTGTTTATTGAGAATATGATCTGGGCTCGCTTTATGCTAATCCAATACAAGATAATCCTGAGAGTTACCTATTGTATCTGTCTCAGAAATGAATAAACTGGCTCAGAGAGGTTAAGGCCACACCCCTAATTGGTGGTAGAAGTGGTGTATAGGTCTTTCAGTGCCAAGTGCTTCTTCCGCCATTGCAGTCTGCCTTAAGGGAGCCAGGAGAATGTAGGACAAATTGAGCCTTAATAGACAGTGCAACTGGAAGTGGGAAGAATGTGAGGCTGAGTAGGGTGGTGTATGAAAAGGGAACAGAAAAAGATACGGTTATAATGGGAGATTGAAGGCATAACACACCGTTAGGTGATACATACAAATAAGTTTTCAGAATGTCAAATTTGGTAGAACATTAGAAGAGGAAGGAAAATTATGTAAGAGACCATTTAAATAACCCAAATGAATATGAATATCTAAACAGTATAGTGCAGTAGGATTGTAAAAGGATAGACCAGTGTGGAAGACATGGAGGACTAATTGAATTTGATATGGAAAGATAAATTGTGCTGTGTAAAAATAAAACAAGAACAGCTTCTTTTCCCCTCTAAACGAATGGACACAGACTCAACAAGATCAACATGTTCCTCTCGAGATCCACTGGGAAGGGAAAGGGGAGGAGTCTTAGCCACATGACCATTCATTTCTCACTTCTCCAGAAACATTAATGGTAGAGAAGGAAGTGGACATGTTCCAACAGTAATGAATCCTTTCTTATCAGAACACGAGATGACCGGGTGCCTGGGTGGCTCAGTTGTTTAAGCGACTGCCTTCGGCTCAGGTCATGATCCTGGAGTCCCAGGATCGAGTCCCGCATCGGGCTCCCTGCTCGGCGGGGAGTCTGCTTCTCCCTCTGACTCTCCCCCTCTCATGCTCTCTCTCTTATCATTCTCTCCCTCAATAAATAAATAAAAATCTTTAAAAAAAAAAAAAAAAAAACACGAGATGACCAAAATACCTAAGTACTGCAGCAGTAGCTGTGGCCTGCATGAACAGGGACTTCTGCTCCCTCCACTTTGACCTCAGTCTGTACTTTCTAATTGATTACATTCTTCTTTCCAGCTTATCTCTGGACTCAGGCAAAAGACCCAGGGGCCAAAGCATCCCTTGATGAGGACCCAAAACTATTCCCTCAAGCAACAGGGACTGCCTTTACACCAGCAAGACAGCGACTGACCTGACCTTTACTGCCTGCCTGCACGTACCCACCGACCTTTATCCCACATTTTCCTTACGTAAACCTGAAAGTATTTTCAGCACTTTGGAGACAGTCTTTGAGATGTGAGTCCACTGTCTTCACGGTGCTGGACTCACTGAAATAAATCCCTTTCTTGTTTCCCCGCCACTTGTCTCACTGCCTTTGTGTCAGCAGTGAGTGGCCAAACTTGGTCTGTTTTGGGACCCCCGGAGCCAGGTGCTCTTTTACCCTTGAGCCCTGGTTACATGAGTACATGTCCTATTGTTTCCAGTGACCTGTCGAGAGGTCCATCCCCATCCCCCAACCCCCGCCATTGCCACTACCTTCCTTTAGGGCCAGACAGGAATTATACTGGAGGTCATAGATGTCTCACACCTGCAGTATGTGAACTCATCAAGGGCACCAAAACAGAGCACTTCAAGCTAAATTAAGTCACCAGTTATTTTAAACTCCCAGCCAAAAATTCAGTCACATACTTAATAACAAAGGATGATGAGGATTGTATGAGTTAGTATATATAAATGCCTGACACAATAATAAAAGCTGTATAAGTACTGGTTACTGTAATGATTATTAAATTTCAAACCTAGCATGGTGACTATATTCAAGTTCCTGTATAAAAAGTTGTGTTGACTAGCTTCAGCTACTTTAGGTGTTTAAGGATCAGAGAAAGTCATGATGCTAGGAGGAAGGCCTAGACCATAGTCAAAGGAGGTTCTTTTCAGGGAGGGTGGGATGAAAGGGAAGGGAAGAATTAGGGTGGTACCAAAATCTTGAACCTGAGAAACTGTGAGTATACCACTTACAAACAGAGAAAGCTGGCTTTAAGGACAGAGATTTTAAGTTTAGAAGGAGGAGTTTTAAAGGAATGTATAGATTTTTTAGCAACATGGGGTTTTTTTGTTTTGAAAAATTTTTACAGATTTATTGAGATATAATTTAGCTCACCATAACATTTACCCATTTTAAGTGGATAATTTAATTATTTAGTAGAGTCACATAGTTGTGCCACCAGTACCACAATCTAATTTTGGAACATTTTTATCTCCCTTAAAAGATCCCTTGTGCCCATCTTTAGTCATTCCTTGTTTCTGGTCCCAGCCAGTTCCACTGGGTTTTTGTTTGTTTGTTTTTTAATAATTATTAAGTAATTTTTTCTTTTGCAGGATGGCATAGTAAATCCAACAATAAGAAAAGATTTGAAAACTGTACCGAAATTCTACTGTTGTCCAATTGAAGGATGCCCTAGAGGCCCTGACAGACCATTTTCTCAATTTTCTCTCGTAAAACAGGTATTTTATTTGTCTTAAGTATACTTCTCTGAGGATGAAATGCAGGTGATATAAACCTAACGTGCATTCTGTCACTCACCAAACATAACTGGAGAACTCTCCAAGAAAGCTGCCTGTGAGAATAGCCACCGAGGAGTCTCCCTGTTGGGGAAGACATGAATGGAGTGTAATGAAGTGAAGGAGACGTGGCTTGTTCTGGAGGAGGAGATGTCCAGAAGAGGGTTTAGAGAGAAAACAAGAAGACCAGTTCAGCAGCAAATGAGAAATGTGTACTCCATATCTCTTGCGTGACTCTGTGTGCCTCCAAGGCCAGAGGAGCAAAGCACAAAGGAAAAGTTCTCCTAAGGAAGGATGAAGCTGCCGAAGTCAGGAAGAGTTCCAGAAGTAGCTGCCTGAGGAGGAGGGAGGGTCCCAGTGAGTGGGGAAAGAGGTCACATAGGACTGGCAGAGACCAACAGCTGAAATACTTCCCAGAGGGTTGGCTGGAGGGGTCCTAAGAAAAGTAGGGAGGACTTTTTCCTGCCTGCAGCACTCATTTATAAAACCTAAATGGCGGGTACTATGAATTGCTTCCAAAGAGGGTCCTCACTTTTCCCAAAGCAGCAGAGACAGGGAGAAGGGGCATGTGATAAACTGCAGTTTGCCTGCTTTTCCTTCTTTCGATGTAGACTGCTCTAGTTTGTCATGCGAACTCATTGTTAATGCAGGGGATGGTTTTTGAAATGTTTTGAGCAGATGCGGTTTTCCACTTTCATCCCTTCCGTGTTCTTCCTAGCACTTTATGAAGATGCATGCTGAAAAGAAGCATAAGTGCAGTAAGTGCAGCAATTCCTACGGCACGGAGTGGGACTTGAAAAGGCACGCCGAGGACTGCGGCAAGACCTTCCAGTGCACGTGCGGCTGTCCCTACGCCAGCAGAACTGCGTTACAGTCCCACGTCTACCGCACTGGCCATGAGATCCCGGCAGAGCACAGGTAAAGGGGAAGAAACAGTGGCCCAGGAGTCTGTTGCTGTGGGAAGAAATTGGAAAGCCGTTAGTGCAGAGAGAAAGGAGGAATAATGGAGAAAAAACATGACGTGGAAGAGGGGAGCTTTCGGAAAAGCGAGCAGTACTAGCAAAGGATCCACATCTGTCTAACTCAGTTGTTCTTATTTCTTCCCAATTGAAAATCTCAACTTCCAGCATTTTCCATCAGAGGGATGTTAGATTGTTGAAGAGTTAAGTTTTATTGTGAAACTGTACCTCATCTTAAAAAGGTCAAATTTATATTTGGAGTAATAGCTTCCTACTTTAGGAACGGTAAAAGTTGCATTAAATAATCTGTTCGCTTCCTCGTGCTTACAGAGCTGAGTGCTAGAGTACTTAGAGGTATGCCCCCAAAAAAGATGTGCTTCCTCCTTACCTACTCGCATGTTCCTGCACTTCTGCCCACCATATAGTAGGCCCAGTTCTCAGAGAGGCACAGAAGGATCGCTCTCCTCACCTGGTGGAGTCTGACCTCTGTTCTAGATATGGGGAGCAGCATTTGTAAGTAATTGAAGAGACCGCACCAGGGTTGAAGAAAGCTGCAGCCTAAACTCGTTTTTCTCTTTTTACTCTGTCCTTGGTTTCAGGGATCCACCTCGTAAGAAAAGGAAAATGGAGAGCTGCCTGCCCAGCCAGAAGTTGTCCAGTAAGCCCACTGAGTCCTTGAGCACCCAACCAGTTCCAAGATCAGACACTCAAGAACTGGAAACTTCAGATATAAAGCTGGTCGCTTCTTTTGAAGACTCTTGCAGCTCTAATGCCGGAAAGCAGACTCTTACCACACCTCCGAGATACCCTCAGAAGTTGCTTTTACCCAAGCCCAAAGTGGCTGTGGTGAAACTTCCTGTTATGCAATTTTCTCCCATGCCTGTCTTTGTGCCTACAGCCGACTCCTCCACCCAGCCTGTGGTGTTGGGTGTCGATCATCAGGGTTCTGCCCCGGGCGCTGTGCACATACTGCCCTTGTCAATCGGAACCCTGATCCTCGGCCTAGATTCAGAGGCTGGCTGTCTTAAGGAAAGTCTCCCTCTTTCAAAAATTGTAAGTCCTGTTGCTATGGAACCAGTTAGTACAGGTGTTCAAGTGAACTTGGGGAAGAGCCTGTCTAATCCTTTACAAGAACTAGGGAACACATACCAGAAGAACAGCATTTCTTCAATCAACATACAGACAGACCTGTCTTACACCACACAACACTTCATACCTTCCACAGAGTGGGCTGGGCCTGATTCCTCTGTATCGTCTTGTTCTCAAACAGATTTGACGTTTGGTTCTCAAGTCTCCCTTCCCATCAGTGTTCATACTCAAACATTTTTGCCCAGTTCTAAGGTGACCTCATCCATAGCTGCTCAGACTGATGCGTTTATAGATGCCTGTTACCAGTCAGGCGGGATCTCCAGAGAAACCCAGACCAGTGGAATGCAAGGTCTGACAGATGACCGAGTACAGATGGACCAGGCTGTTATGGGTGGAGACATTTTTGGGAGCGTCCATTCATCCTACGGTGTTTCTGCAGACAGCATTATAAGCAGCAGCTTAGTAGCAGAGACCGTCACTCATGATTTGTTACCTCAGAACCACCCTAAGACTTTACATCAAGATCTTGAAAAATCTGCACCAATTATAAACTTCAGTGCACAGCACGGTATGCTTCCTTCGCAGAACATGACAGATAACCAGACCCAAACTATAGATTTATTAAGCGATTTAGAAAACATCTTGTCAAGTAATCTGCCCAGTCAGACACTGGACAATCGTAGTCTTTTGTCTGACACGAATACTGGACCTGACCCCCAGCTCCCATCTGGCCCAACCCAGAATCCCGCAATCGATTTTGATATTGAAGAGTTTTTGTCCGCCTCAAATATCCAGACTCAAACTGAAGAGAGTGAGCTTAACACCATGACCACTGAGCCTGTCTTGGAATCACTGGACATAGAGACCCAAACGGACTTCTTCCTTGCAGATACATCTGCTCAGTCCTATAGTTGTAGGGGAAATTCTAATTTCTTAGGCCTTGAAATGTTTGACACGCAGACACAGACAGACTTAAACTTCTTTTTAGACAGTAGCCCCCACCTGCCTCTGGGAAGTATTCTGAAACACTCCAGCTTTTCCATGAGTACTGATTCATCTGACACAGAGACCCAAACTGAAGGAATCTCCAGTGCTAAAAACATACCTGCTGTAGAGAGCAAAGTTCAGTTGAACAGTACGGAAACACAGACCATGAATTCTGGCTTCGAAACCTTGGGGAGCTTGTTCTTCACCAGCAACGAAACTCAAACAGCCATGGATGACTTTCTTCTGGCTGATTTGGCCTGGAACACAATGGAATCTCAGTTCAGCTCTGTAGAAACCCAGACATGTGCGGAACTACACACGGTCTCCAACTTCTAAAAATAAAGTCCGAGCGTGCAACGGCGTTTATTTCTTTCTTTCTGGGTTTGGAAAATGGAGAGTGGGACAACAGTGTTAACACTATTGAATGTAGTTACTGATGCATTTACTTCAATTCTTGGAGGGTCTTTGCCTTTTGTACTTGTAAACATGAAATTTGTGTATAAATGTGAGTATTATAAAGTGTAAGATGTTGATCTAAAAATATTGTTTCTGTTGCCTACATTTGCCCTGTCACAGTGAGTCTTCCCATCTTAAAAACACAAGTGTATTTCACACCTTTCAAGCCCATCTAGCAATTAGCCGAAGCCAAGCTTACCAGGTACTAGGGTACAGGCTTTTCAGATCTTCAGAACATTTCAGTGGAAATGTGTCTTGCTTAACTTAAATTGCACCGACAATATTTGACAGTGTTGTTAGAAATTCCTGTTTCCTGATAGTAAATCTAAAGAAATCGGATGCCACACATCAGATGTAAGCTCCAGCGCTTCAATGGCGTGGGACTCATGCTGCCTGCGGCTTCATCTGCTTTGACATCTCACTTTTTTCTCCCTTGAAGACAAAGGAGAACTACAGCTGTCTAGCTTTTGAGACCATCTTCATGTAGTCAATGCCATTCTTCCTCTACATGAACTATTGCTGATACCAACCCAAGTGTACAGTACTTTCGTCACAAGACATGTTGCTGTAAAATTACTGCTTCAAGAAGTAGCGGCAAGCACTTAGTGTAAATAGTGATCCTTCTAGTCTGAGTAACCGTATGTCATTCCAGCCGTGGAAACTCATACTGGAGTGTGCTCTGGGAACATCCCTCCTGCTCTCCCCAGTAGGCGAGGGTCGTGCTCCCACAGCTGCTTCTCAAAGTGTACCCGTAGGCTGGATCTGAGTTTTGTCTCTCTAAATGTTAAAAAAAAAAAAAAAGGGAAAGAGAAAAGGACATCCCCACCTGCTAAATTTCAGTGTAAGTTGTTAGGGCAAGTGTGCAAACAACAATTTTCCTAAAGTGAATCTTCTCATCCACTTCTCATCTTTTCCTTGAATAAGGAAAGACATTGGCCTAGCAAGGATGTTTTTTGTGCCTTGGGGATAGCAAGTATAGAACAGATCCACCTAAAATAAGGTACTCTGCATTTTGTTGCTTTATTTGTTTAGATGGCAATACCAGTGTTCAAAAAAAGAGGTGAAGACCAGTTATTTCAGTAACCAAGAACATCCATGTTTTTAGATGGGAGCATGGTCATATATGCTTTGGAGGTTTACTGTATTTAGGATTGTTGTCCAACTTTCAGTCAAGGAAAAATCGGTGCAACCTGTACGTTTTCTAAGTTTATTAAGAAAAAGTTCCTTCTGTGGCACGTGCTTATGCTGCTGAAGGCAAAATCCTCAAAATAAAACCTAAGGAGTGGACTAATAAGTACATAGTACATAGATGATGTTACTACTAATTCCTATCACATAGAAGAATAGTTGGTAGTGAATAAATAACATATCCTGGAGAGATGAACCCAACCTGGTACATAGAGTTTGCTTTGGTCACAGTGGCCTATGACTATGGGTTTCAAAACAAACATAAAGCCTTAACTTAGAATTTCATTGTTTTAGAATTGTCACTGCCTTAATGTTCAAACATTGATTTCAGTTCTCCCAGTAAAGGAGAAGTGCATGTTTGTTTATGGCTTTTTTGTAAATATAAATGCAGTGATCTTTGGCTTTAAAAAATTTTGTTTCTGTGAAAATGTTTGATAATCCAGCCAATAGAGTTATTTACAGAACAGTTGAGCATGTCGTAGTTCTTCATGTACAAGAACTGTTCCCTCTCAAAACCTTAGTTACCTGAATTGTCCTAAGATTATTCGTAAAAACTGAAATTCAGTGGTTAAAGAGAAGTGAGAATTCTACCTTTTTTTGTGAATTCTTTGACATACTCATAATGTGACCTATTTGGTTGCCTTGACTTTTCACAAACCTGTCATCTTCTGGTAGTCACAGGATGGAATGGTTGTACCTAGTTATTTTCATTACTGTTTTACCTTTGTTCATGAAACTCTACTAATAATTTTCCTAGTACAAGAAAATGAAAAGACACTCCATTACTAAATTTTGTATTTTGATGTGAAGTTTTTGATAAAAGCTATTCACCTTACGGTTCTGAGTTTTTGAAGAATTTCAAAGGCAATTACTCCAACTCATGCATTTGCCAAAGGTGACATGCATCATTTTATAACGGGGTCCCTTTTATCTTTGTAAATAATGTAATTCTAGCTTACGAGCAAAAATAAGAGGGGTTAGAATATGAGTAGTTCTTTGCTCAGTCACTAATTTGCAAAAAGCCCATCACTGTATTTCTGATTCCCTGATATAAAGAGGAAATAAAAACAAAATTTCTGTAGACTTACCTGAAAGATGCTCAGTAAGGTTTGAAGCTTCTTTTGATCAGAAGAAAATGTATCCATGTCAGTCTAGTTGTGAAGTTGTTTTATTAGTAGTGGCAAATGGACAGGGTGATACTTTTAAGTAATCCTTTATGGCCTCAGTTTTAGGAGGTTTACCTTAATTCCAGTCCAAACCTCACCAAAACCTGCCGTCTGATATTGACTCTAAGGAGCATTTACTCCGCTTTATTTCGAGCAGCGCTCCTCACTCGGGTCGTCGGAAGGCTCTTAAAAGAGGAAGAGAAACGTGTACCTTTGGGGATTTAGGGACGAAAGCTTTGAAGTCTCAAGTATTCATGCAGTTTAATTTTCCTTATATTTCACAACAGATGTGTGTGTTCGCATCGGAGTGTGTTAAGTATCGCCGATCAGATTTGGCTCTGGGAGAGAGCATATCTGTCTTCTGGCTTCATAGTCCCAACATCTAAAAAAGTGTTAAATGACATGGATTTTCATCTAGTTTCTTCATCAAGATGTTGGCTAGTATAATGTTGTTACTGCCAAGAAGGTAGTCAAGTAAATACGCTTGTGTTGCAGTGTTCCAATCCAAAGGGTTCTCTCAGTTGTGTCAACAGTATCAATTGACCCTGAGGTATTAGCTTACATATCAGGAGAGGTAGGCTAAAGATGAAGGGGATTCCCAGGTTGTCAGTGTTCTCAAACTAACAGCTGTGGCACTACATTTAATAACGTGTGTGTGAAAGGAGCAAATGCCCAAACCACGTGAATAAATTCAAGCATTGTCTGTAACACTGGAAGAGTGCCAATATTCCTTTCGACAAACTTCAGAAAAAAACTCCAAATTTTATACTGCCTTACTAATAAAATGCACACATTTGTAACTTTGTTCTAAGTCCACAAAGTCAAAATAGTGACGGTTGGCATAGCAGAAACTTACTGCCGAGGCCCTGCCACAGACTTTTGGTATGTGACTGTCAAGAAAGTTAATGTTAGGGGACAGAATGCTACAAAAAAGAAACAATACTTGTAAAAAATATTTGAGAAAATGAAATTTTTTTGAAAAAATATTTCTCCATGGTGACTTTGTTATTCTCAAAACTATATATGCCATTTCAATGTGAACAAAGCTTTGTTTTTGTTTTTGTTTGTCATAAAGGCATGAGCTTCTTCGCCTGATACCTGTCAGTAAGACCTTGTTCCAAGCGTGGCATCTTTTACTGCTTTTGCTTGCAGCTTTTTTACTCTTTGCTTTCTGGTGATCCATTGCTTTTTCCATATCCTTGTTTGGTTTTATGATTGCCTCTCAAACATGTTGCTGTTTAGGACTGAATTTGAAAGTCATCCCCCTCCTACTTTATCTTCTTTTTCCTGTGCTGTAACGAGAAATTTAGTGACTTCAGAAAATGTAGAGCTTGTGCTGCAATAAAAACTTGGCAGAAGTCAAATGCATCTTAATTAATCACAAAGGGTATTTAACCTTCCGATGCACCGCATTAACATCTCCCTATTTAAAGTGAGCTTTCAGAAATTAAGATTTTATAGTACATTTTTTTAAGATTTATTTATTTACTTTAGAGAGAGCGCGTGCGCTAGCGTGGGGGGAAGGAGGACACAGAGGAAGAGGGAGACAAGCGGACTCCGCTGAGCCCTACGCAAGGTTTGATCCCGGGACCCCGAGGTCATGACCCCAAGCCAAAATCAAGAGTCAGACACTGAGCCACCCAGGCGCCCCTTAAAGTACACTTTTAAGAAACCATCCAAACAAGCCAACTATGCTTTCGGGATTATTTATATTGGCTTATTTCAGTTCATGGGAACAATTTTTGTTTAGCTGTATTTGAGAGTCTAGTGCTATTAATTGTAAATTGCTGTCTATTTGTTCTTTTTTACCTTTTTGGTAAGATGTGTTCTATTTTAAAACCATTTAAATCACTGTTTTCTAACAAGATACGTGCCTAAATAGTAAGTCTTCAGATTTAATGTTCTCTAGCTACCATAATAAGGATCTCTCTGACTTTCCATTTTCCTGAAATTACATGAGAGAAATCAGTCATGAGGATTGAAACTAAACATTCATAAAGCCATGAACAGTATCAGAACTGGTGGTATGTATCCCGAATTAAATGTTTGATTTCTAGTTTTCTTCAGAATACATGCAGACTAAAATAAAATTGCTAACAGTCCTGTGGTACTAAAAATATGACTAGTTCATGGTATGTTTTCAAGTGAACAGTCATAAGCAGAGAAATTGTTTCATTTAAAAAAAATACACAGGGAAGAAAGGTTTGTAGTTTGAGCTAAATCGGGAACAAGGACTATTTTCATATATATGTGTGATGTATCAATTTGCCAGTGGCTACTAAGGAGTGATAGACACGGTGTTGGCCACCTCTTAATATTCACGCTGATTTGGCATAAGCAGTGAATGTTGAGAGTAAGGAATTCTGAGCAATGCCATTACATGTAAATACATCAACTTAACATCATAGAATTTTCTTGAAAACCTTGCCAAAGCAATAATGCACACTCTCAAAAGACAAATATGGGAATATTGACAGCTTTTCTGGGCACTGGCTAAGTGGGCCTACTGTCATTATGAGATGGTCTCAGAGAAAAAGCAGGCTTGTGGTCACTTCCTTGTGGGGGTAACCTGGGCAGGTACCACCAGAAGACCTTGAAGGACCAAGACAAAACTGAGAGCACCAGGGGGCTTTAGATCCAGAGCACCTGTGTTTTGCAGGATGCAGCAAGCCAGACTTCGCCCACTTTTCCTTTGTCCCTGTGCCAAGGTTTGTGCTTTGTAAATAAAACTGTCAGAGAAGCTGCAAACACAGGCATTGGATTCCCTAAAGCATTGGTTCTCCACTGGGCAGATTTTGCCCTTGTGGCACTTGGTAACGTCTGGAGGCATTCTCGAGTCTCGCAACTGAGGGATACTGTTGGCATCGAGTGGATAGAGGCCAGGGATGCTGCTAAATATCCTAGTCTGTACAAAACAGTCCCTACAAAGAATTATCCAGGCCTGGAACAAAGGAAGGAGAAAATGATCCTTGACACTCATGCATTTGCTCAGGATAAAGAGAATAATACCCAGAAGGGGCTTAGAACTCTTAGAACAGTGCCTTGTAAATTCAAAGGAATTACTGTATTGTGTGGCTGGTAGTAGAGCTTGGGGCAGAGCTTAGTCTGGACACCAAAAGCACGGCACTGAGTCTCCTGGCACCAGCGTCCCAGTGAGCTTGGCAGACAGTGGTAGAGTATTCCCTGGGGTACCAGCGACTGCCCTGATACGCCCTTGGTCATAGCCACAGGAGCCCCTCTGTTTATTTCCCACCTTGATCTTCAATAGCCCCTAAACTGCAGCACCGACGTTGCACTGGACCCAAACCCAGACACCCCAAAAAGCCCCAGATATGAGGCCTCCAGTCATGCAGCTTGGCCTTGGCCAGCTGGGGATACCCAGAGAGATGGGGTAGGATTCTGTGGTCTCTCTGGGTCCTGAAGCTCTTAAGTGTGGAGGGAGGGAGAGTGAAAGGCAATTTGATTCTGGGTTCCAATCATTTTATAGCATGGTCCTTGAAGTACAGGTAAATTTCACAAAAGGGGGCCACGTCCAGAATAAAAAGAAAAATGCTAAAAATTAGGGAAAGTCTCCCTAAGTAACCAAAGTCCTATGTACTTGTCCAAATGTAGCCTGGCCTTATTCTGAATTAATTAAAATCTTCCCCTTGCCCTTCGAAAGTGCCACCCCTTCATTTCTGTCAGAAAACATTCTGTCTGTCCAGGTTCCCTGCCCCTCCAGGCCCTCCCTTGCCTCACCCAGACCCTCAGCAGCATCCCCAGGCCTCAACCCCGCCTCACCCAGAAGGTGACCTCGGGCCCTGCAGGAGCCGTGTCTAGTGCTGCCACAGTTCCACGTGGTGATTTTTAAAGTTTTGAGAAAAATTGGAATTTGGAAAGTTTGATTAACGAGACATCCAAAACTAATAGCATGAGGGGTGAAACACAGCCCTCCATGCTTGGTTTAGAGAGGAGTAGAGGATCCAAAACCCAACTAAGACCATTACCCTGAGATAGGAAGAGGGCTGTTGCCATCATTAGAACATGCTTAACACCCTTAAGTGGCATGATTTCCCCTGAAAGTTTTGTTGATGACCTAGAACCCTAATGGGGACTGCATTCTATTAGACATTTTTCCTTTATCTAGACTTGGACATCAAAGACCAGTCTGGACATCCTGATTGAATCTGAATGGAAAGGGGCAAAACCTGGAGTGATTTTATCCACAGAAAACAAGCTAAACCCAGGCTAATGCAAATAAGATCCCAGAAGGGCTTAATCAGGTTAATTGAAAAATTATCTAAAGAGATGCCAAATGCAAAACACTCATATTTATTCATAGACGAATCTCTTAGTCAATATTTTGCTGGCCAAACTAATTTTTTGCTCAAAAAGAAGAATACTACACATCTTTAAATTTGGGCCCTTCCTTTATTCAGACCGGCCCTCCTCTTAATTCTAAATCATTATGTTTGCCCCAAAATCTATAGAATTTATAACCCTTATCTCAACAAAAGAGTTTTTCTTAAGAAAGAAATATTTTGGGGATGCCTGGGTGGCTCAGTCGGTTAAGTGTCTGCCTTTGGCTCAGGTCATGATCCCAGGGTCCTGAGACAAAGCCCCACATAGGGCTCCTTGCTCAGCAGGGAGTCTGCTTCTCCCTTTCCCTCACCCTCTACCTCTGCCTCCCTCGTCCTGTTTGTGCTATTTCTCTCTCTCTCTCTCTCTCTGTCAAATAAATAAAATCTTTAGAAAAAAATTTTGTTTTAACAAGTGTTTTCAGATCGCCTCAAGATCTCAAAATGTAAGCACCCTGGATTGAGTTGGTGGGCTCTGTCCCTGGCTCATGCTGGTAGATGCGCTTCACTCCGTGTTTCAGCACTCTTGCCTGTTTTACATACTGAGCTTAGTCATGATCTTGCTGTTTATTAGACAGGGCTTGAAGAACCAATGACTTAGGTGGGCAGGCTAGAGCTGGAGGGTCCTCACAGAGCACAAGATCCAACACCTCATGGTCCAGACACAGTGGGAAATCAGAGTTTCTTGGGGGCAAAATCCAGATGGTTTGTTCATTCAGAGAAGAAGAGGTGGGCAGAACCTAAATTGTTTCTAGACTATAAAAAAGCGTCCAACCTCAGTAGGCAAAATACACCTTTTAATGAAAGTTGTACTATAATCATTTCTGCATTTCTGGTGTTTTGTAAATAGAAATCACAAAACAATAAAAAACCTAAACTAAGAGAAAAGACATTACAAAGACCAATTGTGAAAAGCAGATGTTTACAAATACAGTCATATAATCTGTCTACCCATCATTTAGGGGACAGAAAGTCCAGAGTTCAAGTACAACCTACCTTAAGCAAATGCAAACTATGTAATTACAGAGCGGCTAAATGGTTATTCATATTACAAAATGGTTTTTCAGAGCATTTCTCTACATAGCATTGTCACTTGGCACTTAAAATATAACTCATTTACAAATGTTTTATTTATATACAACTTCAGGAAATATGCATTGGGGTAAAATGAGGGAAGAAGGCTGACAGAAGGGAGAAAGTAACATCCCTATTCTGTAAGAGTCTGCCTGAGGTTGGGAGTTCCCAAATATTAGATGCAAGGTAAGGCTGGAGGAAGCATGTGGGGTGACAATTATAATCACAGTGACATTTTTTTTCAAATAATTATTCTTAACCTGCTTCCCAAGATGGACTTTATAGATCTGTGGCTAAAACTTTTGCAGACATGGAGACTAGTACGAGGCTATAACATAAGTATATGAAAACCCTGGGATATGCAGCATGGAGTGGATATGATATATCCGTGGATATAAGGATATGACACCTTGGACACAAGGATATTTATTTGGACACAGGCTGGAGTTACCTATTAAAGCAATGTTCCAGATCTTTGTTGCAAGAGAAAATAAATCAACAGATAGATACTTGCCTGGTTCAAAAGATCAGGAAACAATTTGGTCTAAACAAGCCCTTACACTCAGCTTAAGGCATGGGGGTGGGGCGGAAAGAGCCCCTGCCAGTTGGCTCGGGGCTGCCGTGGGCATCACTGAGGGAGGCCCTTCAGAGTCCCCACCATCCACTTGGCTTCTAGGGGGAGTAGAGAGATAAGGCAGGCAGAGGCTGAGACTGGCATTACCAGTTTGCATTTTGTAAATGGCTGAGCAACAGAAGCAGGTGACACATAAATATGGGGGTTTTGAGAATACATCAAAACCCATACCATGAGGTTCAGTTTCCTCTGGTTCTACTGCAAAAAAAGGACAAGGGAAGGGCGGGTGGGCGGGAAGAGTATGGCAGAAGAGAAGAAAGGAAGAAAAGCTGGGATGGGGTGGGAGAGAGAGACAGGGCGAGGATGAATGAATTCAAACAGTGCTTATTCCCAGGTAATTCTATTATAGCAACTCAGAGCAGTCTGTGAGTGGAGACAGGAATAACAACTCTGCTCACGGTGAGGGACGGCAAGAGAGTTCTCGGGAACACTTTGGTCTCCAACAATTGGGGCCTGTGTTCCTGCTTGGCCTCCGTGAGAAAGTGCTTTTGGGTGCTCACGGGAGGTCTTGGCTCCCTGGCTTTGAATTTGGCTTTGTAGTTTTGCACTCCGTGTTTCTGCAAAAGCTGCACAGTGGCGAGATAGCGCACGTTGCTGGGGTTGGGAGGGCACATCGGGTTTTTCTCAGGCAGGAGGGACCAGTGCAGGCAGCACCGCTCCGGATTGGCCAGCAGGGATGTGGGGGCCACCCGGGGAGGGAAAGGCAGTGCGTCATTGCGCTTGGGGTGCTTGGCCAGCTCAATGGGTCTCTTTTCACCTTTCCCATCAACTGTTTTCAATCCATATGCACAAGCCACACACTCATCCTTTTCCACACTCAGCACCTTCTCTTCCGGCTGCAAGAAAAGGTTCTTACTCTTCTTACCCAGAACATCCAAGCCGTTTGGGGGTGAAGCCTTCAGGGGAGGTAGAACTAAAAGGGCCCTGGAAGTCAAGGAGTCTGAGATGGAGGGACCTCTGCTGGGGCTTCTCGGGTCCTTGCCCCTAAGAGCCTCGGGGGTGGCCCAGTCTTCCTTGCACCAAATAAACTCCTTTATTTGCAGACTTTTTTTCTCTCCCTGACCGTAGGGGGGAATGCAGATCTTGCTAATCTCCCTGGAGGCAGCGGTGGGGCCCAGAGGGGTCCCCTGAGTCTGGGAGGGGCTGCCTTGATCCTTCTCTGGACCCACCTCAGCCAGAGCCCCCAACCCCAACTTCTCCGCCTCGGCCTGAGGCCTGGCCTCAGCGCTCCCTTGGGAGAGACTGCCACAGAGTAAGCAGCTGCTGGTTCTTTCTCCCACCTTCGCCTTTTTAAGCTTCTTCCTGGGCCAGATGCAGGCAGTTGGAGAAGTCCTTCCCCAGCCTCGGACCTGCAAATAAAGCAGCATGTTACTCCCGGCAGAGCTGCTCAAACTCTAGCTGGCCAGCTGTGGCCACACCCCCATTTTGGCCATCCTATCTGAACCAATATTTTTCTTAAAATTGACTCACCTTTTTTTTTTTTTAATCTTAACACTATTTTAGCCTCATACTAAGTAATAACATTTGTAACAGTATTTGTTAATCTGGAATATAGCAACTGGATTTAATACTAAAATACTAAGCAAAAATATCTGTACATGGCCATCTTGAGGTGCTGACCCTATATGTTTTCAGATGCACATCAAAATAAAGTCAGGACTCTTAAAATAAAATCAGAACTGTTTGTACTTGTCTCCCTGCCAGGCTCTCTCAGACCACCAGGCTCTGTTACCAAACCCCAGGAGACTGCTGTGTGGTGGGGCTGGAGGGAGAGACAATGAACAGAGGCAGGTCCCTGAATCAGGGTACTCCCCAGCACCCTGCGCCACCCGCCTCCCCCCCATGCCCACAATCTGTCCATACCCAGAGTTCCCTGGCTGAATTTGCCACAAATGTCACCGTTAAATAGAGTTGCCAGATAAAAATCAGGACCACATCTGAGACATACTTAACACTAAACATATTAGGTACTGTTGACCAAAATTCAAATTTAACTGGGCATCCCGTATCTTCATTTGCTAAATCTGGCAAACTTATGTGTAAAAAAAAAAAAAAAAAAGCAAACATAGTTTCCATGCTTTTACTATGTTCCAGGCACTGAGCTAAGGATCCATTGGTATTGGCATTGGTTCATTTAACCCACACCACAGCACTATAATTCAGATATTCTGATGCCCAGTATACAGAGGTGGAAACTGCCATTCCAAACGCTATTACAGCCAATGGCAAGTTCTGCCACATTCAGAAGGTCTGTGCATTCCCATGCAGGGGACAAGGAGAGGCTGTGAGGAGCCAGCCTCTGGTCATCTTGCACAAAAACATCCCTTTATCATCCTTCCCTCCTGACCTCTGCACCCTCTCACTGCACGTGCTCAGCTCCCCAAATTCCAAAGTGTGAAGCATCACTTTTTCAAAAAGTCTAGTAAGTGCCTGACACTGAATCAGGCGTCCTGTCCTCCTCGTACAGCCCTCTGGCCAGCCTTTATGGATGAGGAACTTGGAGCAACAGGAAAGGAGCCCTCCCCAAGGTTAGCTGCCTGTAAGTGGTGAATTTGAACCTGAGCTTTCTTATTCCAAAGTCCTAGCCCTTACCAAAGCTGTGCTGATACCTCAAATATATTCCAACCAAAAAACCCCATTTCCTTTTGCATAGTTAAGTCCTAATTCTTAGATGGCAATTATATATGGGGGCTCTAAGGTCGCTGCCCTGAGCTGCACTCTTGAGACAGCCTACGGACAACTCTCCCAGCCTACTCTTCTGGCTTCTGTTCTGGAACCTTGTCCCTTCATGTGCTGCTGAGTTGGCAGTGGGTCTTCAAGAGGACCATATGGCTTGCTTCAGACCTCACTGCTCTCAACCCTGACTTCCCAGGTGACTTCCCAGCTTTTGCGGAGAAGGGTCCCAGCACATTAGCTAACAGATCCTCAGGCTAACTGGCCTCTCTACCGAAGGTGGCTTCAGCTGCAATGAGACAAGTCCCACACCCCCATACGCCCTCCTGCACCCTCCCCACCACCCTCCTCCCTCCAGACAAGGGGGGATTTGTCTCCTGGCCATGCTTATGTAGCATGCCAACTTTTACTTAGCTGGATAATTATTGAGGGAAACCTAAATTCTGGGGCTTTAATCTTTCTACAGATGTTTACAGGTGTTCTATTTAATCTATTAAACAGGTGCATTTGATGAGTCAGCAAATGTTTTCTACTTGCTTGACCCTAAGAGTCATCTGAGCTGCTGCCTAAAAATCCAGATTCCTGAGCCCCACTGCAACCTACTAAGCCAATACTCACAAGATGGACCTGGGCGGGTGGTTTTAAAAACACCCCAGGTGAGCCTTGGGTTGAAGCTGCTATAGAGGATCTATGTCTCCAGGGTGTTCCGGTGGCCTGGCAGGGGATCCAAGTCCAGAGATGGGGGTCAATGACACCTGGCTCTTTTGATTCTCACAGGTGGGCTGTCACAGGTAAGCTAAATGTTGGTTGGGTTGGTCTGGGTCAAAAATGTACAGCCCTGAGGCACCCCATCCTGAGAGGTCTCTTGGCTCTGCAAACATAGGCAACTCTCACCAACTGCTGCCAGCAAAGTGTTCTCTGTCCTCATTTAAATGCTGGCCCACGGGTCCCTGGCACCAGTACAGGAAGTATCAAAGGGCCACAAGCCAGGGCCGGAAGCTGGCTTTGGTGGGACAGGCCTCTGACATCCCCCCTGGGACAAGGCCGCCTGAGAAGCCAGGGAGGGCTAGTGGGCAGAGAGTGAAGAGCAATGGGCAGCAGGAAGGAGGAGGTGGCGCGGCACGATCATCCTCGACAGACTGTGAGCAGCAAACATACTCTCAGCATGGGGCACATGTGGCATTTCTTCCAATTAATAGAAAATTCTTTTCCAACAGCCCTTGGATAGATACATTTCAAAGTCATTACTTTCAATAGTAAACTGAACCTTCTAAATTGGAAACTTTCAAATCCTCAAGTAGAACTGTCTGTAACCCTGCCTTAGCGGGCATGAGCCTGTGTGTACACCAGGTGGGGGTGGGGCGGTGCCACAGAGAGAGTACAAGAGGAGGGTCCTGACGACACGACTCCTTCAACTGTCAAGTGGACTTGGGGGAGCGGCTCTGCCATGTCTTGGCCTCAGTTTCCATATTTATAAAATAAACCAATTAGATCAGGATTCCTCAACCTCAACACTACTGACATTTAGGGCATGTTATGGATTGCATGACTGTGTTCCCCCAAATTCCTCTGTTGAAGCCCGAATCCCCAAGGTGATAGTATTTGGAGGTGGGGCCTTTGGAGGTTATTAGGGTTAATGAAGTCAAGATGGGATCAGTGCCCTTATAAGAGGATATAAGAGATCTACTTGCACCACGAAGGAGGGCCTTGTGAGCACAAAACAGGAGGAGGTTCCCCCACCAGAACCCAACCATGCTGGCACCCTGATCTTGGATATCCACCCTCCAGACTGCAAGAAATAAACATCTGTTGCGTATGCTCCCAGCCTATGGTATTCTGTTATAGCAGGCCCGAACTAAGACGGGGCTGGCTCATTCTTTGTGGTGGGGGCCATCCTGGGCGCTGTAGGATGTGGAGCAGCACCTCTGGGCTCCATCCAGTAGATGCCGGTAGCACCCTCTTCCCCTCACCCCCAGTTGTGTGACAGTGCCAAGCATCACCTAAGAATCACTGTATTAGACCAAATTTCCTTACAGTTCTAAATTTAAGATTCTATTATCGATTCCAAGAATTGTTTAAGAATAAACCCCTGGGGCTCTGAGTGGAACCACTAGGAGAGAAATCCCAGGTCTCTTGGGGAGCTTAGCACAGCAGCGAAGGAGCTTGGGTTCTGGAGTCCAGAAGAGCTGGATTCAAGCTCTGCCTTGGCCTCCGGCTGGGCGATGTTTGGCACACTCTTTCACCTTTTGGGTGCCTCGTTTTCCTTGTCTGAAAACTGAGGCTGTTCATAATACCTACCTCATAGGGCTGTTGAGGGGTTGAATGAATTGATGTACGTGAACCATTCAGTCCTGTGCTTGCCAACACTAACTGGCCAGAAATACCCAATGAAAGGTACCGCTCTTACCATTACTTATATTTTACCTCTATTCCTAAGGTTTCTGTATTTCATTGTTTATACATTTTTTAGTAATAACTATTTTTGGCAAAAGTAAAAGGAAAGGCTCACATCAAAACACAGACACATGAGGCACCTCAGCCAAGGAGATACTCACAGCTTCTTCCCATCCAGTTCCGATGACAAATTCGCCGGCCCTTTTATCTTGTTCAAGCGTAATGTCACTGATACTGAGAAGACAACAAACATGATTCTTTTCACTTCTTTCATCTGGGCAAGTATAGGTTAATTCCGTTTCTTCTGGGCTTTGAATTTTGTTATTTTCACTATTTTCTAACTCAGTCTCATTTTTCTGACAGAGATCCATTACTGTGATTGTGGCTGAAGGTTTTTAACATCTTCTTCCTGTAGCATGAAATGCGGGCTGAACTTAGTTTGTAAAATTCATTTCTTAAAAAATGAATCAGTAACTCAGGCAAAACAACATCAAGACACATTCCAGAATAGACTGGAATATTACAAAACCATCTATTGCCAGATATTGATATAATAAAAGATACGGCTAATTGGAAAGGCTAATGGATTTAATTAAAGAGCAGAGTTGGGATTGAAGAGGAGAGGACAGGGGGAGGTTAGCAGAGGCTCTGTCCCTCATCATGGGGTAGAGTGCGGCAAGGAATGTAGGTTTAAGCACCCCTGCTGTCCATTCCAAAAAAGTCCAGATGCTACTGTGCTAACACCATGGGAAGTGTGGTGGGCACGTGTGACCTGGCCACTTTCCCTTCTCTTCCTTCCTAGCAACTCTGGATACCGGTCGAGGCTGGGGAGCATGTGTTCTAGGCTAGGTCGGTCTGCTCATCCTAATCCACCCTGGATGACTGAGTCCTTATGAAAATGGACACAGACATGCAGAGAGGGAGGCCATGTGAAGAGGCCCAGGGAGAAGCCTGCAAGCCACAGAGAGGAGCCTAGAGCAGATCCTTCCCTCACGGCCTTGGAAGAAACCAACATTGCCAATGCCTTGATTTCAGACTTGCTGCTTCCAGAACTGTGAAGCAGTACATTTCTGTTGTTTAAGCCACCCAGTCTGCGGTCCTGTATCAAAGCAGCCCTAGCACACTAGGACCACATGTCGTGGTAACGGTAGCAGCGGCAGTGATGATGAGGGTGATACCATCTATCCTTAAATGATGTTTTTCCAGGTTGAAAAATGGAACTTGGCATTTATAATCAGTCAAAGAGTCAGGAAAGTTGTCATCCTTTTTTGTTTCTGGGGTTTTTTTGTTTTTTGTTTTTGAGTAGACTCCACACCCAGCATGGAGCCTAACGCAGTGCTTGAACTCACGACCCTGAGATCAAGACCTGAGCTGAAATCAAGACTCAGATGCTTAACCAACTGAATCACCCATGGAAAGTTATCATCCTAATCAGGAGCACAGACTTGATTGCCAAACAGCCAGGGTTCCAACCCTATTAGTACGTATACGACCTTGGGCAAGTTACTTTTCTGGGTCCGTTTGCTCATCTCTAAGTTGGGCATGATTATAGTATCTTCCTACAGACAGAGGCTCCTCCTGGGCACCCCACAAGCTTCAGAGGTGAATCCCTGGGCCTAGGCAGTGACCTCCAGTGGTCCAGCTGCATGCTGATGAACAGCCAGTGCCTTCTTGAGGATTCCCTGCTTGTAATGACACAGAGGCCACTGGGGACCACACACTTTGCTTTCCCTCACCCTAACCTAATCCCTGCCAGAAAGCCACGTGTTAAATTTTCTGTTGAGGTAGAGATCAATAACTTTTTATAACAATATCTGTTTAATTACCATTTTGGCTTTTTCACACAGGCTTAAAGTGGTATTTTGATGCTAATAAAGTTCCATTTACCTATGGAAGGTCAAATATCTTTGGACATCCTAATCTTTTCCAATATGACATCAGAGGAAATGAATGAAATCTGAAAGGAAAAGACGATATTAGGAGTGGCTAAAAACCAGAAGTGCTATTCTATTTACAAACACTGTCACTGCAAAGGATTGAAGAATCATTGATCCGAAGATGGCCCGTTGCCTTAGCTCCCCAACGGCCCTATGAAAAGGATGAAAAGGTTCCACGTACTCTTCTCTCTGTCAGGTTAACCATCTCCAGCAACTTCAACTATTTCTCACACGTCATGAGAATATGTGAAATCTGAGAGGAAGACGATATTATCTCTATATCGAGACAAACAAACAGTGGAGGCCAAAGATGCGGTATTGGGGAAGCCCCTATTTTGGAGTCAATAGAGGTTGGACCCAGTGAGGGCACCAGAAGTTCCAGTCACATTATATTCCAAAGTGCCAAAAGAAACCCAGGTAATGATAATATTAAATAATAAAAGTAAGAGCTGCATAATAGCTCTTACTATGTGCCAGGCATCGTTATGAGCACTTTACATATTTGTTATAAATACTGCATTTTATAAGTACTTAATTCATTTAATGGAAGATTGTGGGAACAATATTGACTCCTTATGACCAAAAGTAAGAATCATCTCTGAAGTCAGTAAACATAGTATTCTTAGTCAAATGGCCAGATTACTGCATACCAGATTGCTAGGTGCTTCTCTGGAACACTGGTGTTCAAGCTGGATCAAGATGCTCCACTACTAAAATGGAATGTTGGTGGTCTTTTCCTAATTAGAAAAAAAAACAAACAAATTCAGTTAGTGGAAAGAACAGTCTTAATTTAAAATTTTTCTCCAATAACCATGCCTTTAAGTTGTATTGCCCATTCTTGTCTTCCGGCTCATGTAAGAGATGAGAAATAGAAGTATACAAGAAGCAATCAAAGATCAACTAAAAGAGTGGATATGTGATTTCTTACAAATGGTATGCATTCTAACTTTTATGTTGAAATGCAGACATCTGCATGGGTACAACAGTCATATTTTCTGATAGTAAAAATATGCCTAGTTTACAGAGTTGAAGTAAATCAATAGGTCATGCTATTCCACTTCTTGACTTCCATGGAGCTTTACCATCATATAACTGAGAGCTCATTACTTTACAAGCATCTTGTTTCATTCCGCCGGTGGCTCTAAAGAATAGGGTGACATCTGCAACCCTGAAACTTATGCTCCTCAGTTCCTGGTGTTCCTCCCAAAAGCAACATGATAATCCTGAAAATAAGTGAAGACGGCTATTATTTCTTCAGAAGAGAATCTCAAATTTCCTCATCTTAAGAATGCACAATTGCCTGTCAATGTCTTTAAAATATAGTACCTGGAAATGAGGGTAATATTTCAAATGTGGTCTGGCTAGAAATGTCTATTTTGAAATCTGACTCCCTTTGATCTGAAATCTACACCTATTAATTGGACAAAGATTGCTACATGTTTAAAAAGCTATATCCCAATCTTGATTAACACTCAGCAGGAGGTCAATTATAACTTCTACATTTTTCCCCATGAATTGTTAATAATCCCTGTCTTCCTCACTCCATTTATATGCCGTTAATTTTCTTTTAAAATTTTTTTCCTCTTTTTTTTCCACTAGATATAGACCTCTGAATGGATCAGATCTTTCTAAAATTTCCTCTTGTTGGTTTTGGACCATTATTCCAACCTGCTTAGATACTTGCAATCTGACTCTGACACCCCACAGTTTGGCCATTCCTTCCCAATTTAAGACTTGAATTTGATGGGCATACCTCCTGTAACTTCATCTAAGTCACTGATAAAATGTTGGCGAGGAGAGGGTAAAGGACAATGCCATGTGGATATGCCTTGTACTGGGGCATTTACTAATTACCAACTGGCTGCAAATTCACCTCACTATACAATTGTCAGGCCCATGTGTATAAATCTCATCTACAGGATTCTTGATTCCATCGATTTAGGTAAACTTCATTTTTTTTAAAAAAGACTCCCACCAAGAGTTATAGAAATTTACATTTACATCTATGTCTATTAATTTTTTAAAATATTTACTGTCTATATTAGGGATGAAGAATAGGTTCCAAATTGCCGGTTCCAAACAGTCCCAACACAGCTAGAGTGTTGTGTTGAGAAGGATGTTAAAACTTGGCCACTGCAGGGAAGAGTTCTGTGGTTGATTAATGATGTCTGCCAGAGACTAAAGAGTGGTAACATACCTGCCACCTAATTGCCATTGCTTATATAAAAAGTCAGATTCCAAATGCCTTACTCTAGACTCCTACACCTGGTTGACACATTCCCAGGTAATTAATGGGGGGGGGGATGTTGATGGGCCAGGAGAGGTAAAAAGCTCAGGACATTTAAGTCAAAAGCAAGCTATGATCCCTTAAAACTCCCTGCCACCTCCCTGGCCCTACACTATGCCCTACACCCTCCCCCCATCTTCCTGGAAGTTTCAGGTTTAAAGGAATCTTGAATCTATGTCAGAATTTCAGATGGGCTTCTGGCAGTCTCAACTGGAATTCTGAATGGATGGTCCTGTGGATCCTTAACGTGTGTTGCGTGAAGAAATCAATGAATAGAAACACTGTTAGCTATGGTGGAAGCGAAGTTTCTGAATACAGAGCTGAGCTTCTGGCATATGAAGTGGTTAAATAAGTCTTGAAGATTGTCTTGGGCATGCTGATCACTGGTAATATAGTTTCTAAAGGAAAATGATATGAAGACTTCAATCTAATTTACACTTTTGGAACACAGCTCGGCAGGGAGTTGAATCTTTGCCTCAAAGTTAAGCACATGCGCCACTCAACTTGCACAGTTAGTTCACATTTTCAGGAGTATAAATCTTATCTCTCCAAGTTAATTATCCGTGCCTTATGCTTATTACGTGCCCACAGAGCACATCAGCTTTGACGACCCATAGAAGGAATCTTAAGGGCGTGGTTTATACAACCATCCCTCCGGATCAGTCCTTTATTACTGCAGTCCCAGTCTCCAACCCTTCCGCTCTTTCCATTCACACTCATTCACTCACTAAATGCCTATTAGATAGCTAGCTCTGGTAATAAAATAGTAAAGCCACCCGTAAGTCTTCTCAGTTGTCACACAGCTTACAAGTCTGCATGAAAGCACAAGTCATCAAAGACACACACTCCACCTGTTGCTCCAAAAGCCCCGGCCTTTCACACCTGGCTCTTCCCTTTCCTACAATAGGCCCTCCCCTTCCCCCAGGCTCCTTCCCTTCTTCCAAGATCCTTCTTCCTCCTCTTCATCCAGCAGTTCCTGCCGTGCCACAAAAGATGCCTACCCTTCTTTCAAGAGCTGTCGTCCGGCAAAACATCCCCACTTGCCCACGAGCCCCTCCCCTTCCTCCTTTGGCTCCTCCCTCACAAGGCTCCGCCCTTTCAACAGCTCCTCCCACTGCCCCACCCATTCCTCGCCGCTCCTCCCAGG